TCCCGAGTAGACTTGGGAGGCGTGGGTGCCTGATGGCATTCACGTAGAACGGTGTATGCCCGGTCGAGGCATGCACCGAGTTGTTGATGGCGAACTCCGCCATCGGCAGGCACAAGCTCCAGTGTTGGAACGAGTGAGCGTAGCTCTTAAGCACGTCTACGAGCACGCGGTTCACGAGCTCGGTCTGCCCGTCCGTCTGCGGATGGTCCGCAGTCGACATCGAAAGTTGACTCCCAAGAAGTGTAAACACTTCTTGCCAAAGGTGTGCAGTGAAGCGCGGGTCTCGATCCGACACAATGTCGATCGGCATGCCATGGTGTTTGAACACCATGTCAACGAACAGACGCGCCGTCTGTTTCGCAGTCACTTCAGCGGGTACCGCAGCAAGATGTACCATCTTGCTGAGCCATAGGCCAGCAAGAGATTCGCATCGGCGTCGTGCGCGTACGCGGCCTTCACGTCGTCCAACAGTGACGACATGGAGGTGCTCGATCGCATGGCGTCAATGGCATTGACGTCGGCTTCAGTCGTGGCGTAGTCAGGTCGACGCGAGAGCGCGTCGGCCACCACATTGAGTCTTCCGGGTTTGTACTCAACCCGGAAGTTATACTCTGCGAAGAATGAGAGCCATCTCGCCATCCGTTGCGAGATGTGCGGCGACTTCACAGCCGTCCACAACGGCGCGTGGTCCGTATAGACCACGAACGGTTTGCTTCCGAGTAGATACACTCGGAACTTCGCGAGTGCGTACTTCATGGCAAGGAGTTCCTTGTCATGTACCGGGTAGTTGCGCTCAGCTGGCTTCACCTGACGCGATTGGTAGTAGACGACACGATCACGGCCCTCGTGATCGTGCTGCATCAACGCACATCCGATTGCGAAGTCGGATGCGTCACACACAACGTGGAATGGGCGATCTTGGTCGGCCACCGCCAAGATTGGCGCCTCAGTCTAGCCCCGCTTGACTGCATCGGAGGCCTGCTGACACTCAGCAGTCCAAACCCACTCGGCGTCCTTCTTCAGGAGCTGTGACAGCGGGCGTATCATGCCCGCGTAGTCCTTCACGTACTTGCACAAGTACGTGGCCAAGCCAAGGAACTGCCGCAGTTCCTTGGCGTTCGACGGCGTCGGCCACTCATTGATCACTCTGACCTTCTCAGGGTCAGGACGGACACCATTCTTCCCAACGAGACGCCCGAGCACGGGTATCTCGCTCGCCCCAAAGATTGCACTTCTTCAGGTTCGCGAAGAGCTTGTGTTTGCGCATGAGCGCAAGCAGCTTCCGGAGATGCACCTTGTGCATCTTAACATCGCTCATCCCGTCCGCAGCCCGGCTGTGGACGAACACATCCGAAGTAGCTCGGTGCGAAGTCGTGCACCGAGCGCAATAAGTGCGTCACGCACCTGTTGAAGGTCGCAGGGGTGTTCTTCAGACCCTGCGGCATCAATAGCCACTCTCAGAGCATGCCGCTCGGCGTGTTCACGGCCGTGAGAGGGATATCGCTCTCACGCATGAAGATCTGATAGAACCCATCGCGCAGATCAAGAGCACTGTAGATAGTGCTCCTGGCCATCGAATCGATGATAACATCTTTTCGCGGTATCGGTGTCTGCGCCGGTATCGTCGCATCGTTCAGCTTGTTGTACGCATGAACGATGCGCCAACCGCCCTGTGGCGTCTTGACACAGAACGTCGGAGCACTGTGCGGGGATTTCGATTCCCGCACTTGTCCAGCTTTGCGACGACTCTCAAAGAAGTCGTCGATCGCCTTGACCTGTACGTCCGCGTACTCCTGTAAGATCTCGTAGTAGGGACTCGTTTTCAACGAGTCCCAGCTCTGCTCTTCAAAGCGCTCCTTCTTCGTCTTCGCACTGAGAGTGTCCTCGCTCTCAGTGGTGGTCTCCATGAAGAACTGCCTCAGTTCTTCATTCTCGCTCTTCGTTCTCTCGGCGTCCGAGAGAATGCATATTTGCTCGATGCGTCCATCGTGCAAGTCACGCGCGAAGCGCTTCCAGCTCATGACTGGAAGCGAAGTCAACTCCGACGCTTGCGTCGGAGGGTTAGCGAGGGTCATCTCCCTGTACCGGAACCCGGCACAGGCACGCGTCAAGACGTTCAACGTCCCGACGTCCGGCTTCTCAGCCTCCGTCTGCCCGGCAGACATTCCTTGTAACGTCTCGGCCCCAGGCCGAGACTTGCGCAGCGATCTTCGCATGCGCCGTCTTCTTGTTTTGCGGAGCCCGGCTCCGCTTGGTTCTTGACCTCGTCCAGGCCCAGCCGTGGACGGGTAGTACCGCCGGCGGGTTCATCCCGCGGGCGAGCGACTTCAAGCCCGGCTGCACGACAGCATGCAAGTTTTTCCGGTGCGGAACGTTTGCAAGCGCACCGCCTGCAGCGTCGGCTCCCGGAGCCGACACGCCATCTTCACCTCGACGCCTGTTATTGGCGGAGCCCTCCATTACGGAGGGTGCGTCCGCTCCCCGAGCCGACGAATCAAATTCACCCAAGCCATCGACTCCCGGAGTCGACGGCGTTACGTCACCTTGGCTCTTATTATTGGCCAGACCTGATCCAATCAGATTCGCGTCAGCCTCTACGGCTGAGGCGTGTGACTCGCCTGCGTCATCCGTGCCCCTTGAGGTCGGAGACTCTTCCTGATTCGCTGAAATGCGGGTGTTGATCTCCGAGATCAACACATTTTCTCCTTCAGCCGTCGGCGGCGACGCCGACGCTTGCTGCTCTTGAGTGCGTGCTCGCGCGCGCCCAGGGCGCTCCGGGACTGCGGCATTAGGCGCTGTCTCGAGTGGGGAGTCGCGCGCACCTGTCGGTGCGTGCGTAGCGGCAACAGGACCATCGCTCACTGTTCCGCTGTCGCGACCGAAGCGCACAAGAGTGCGCTTCTCCTAATCGATGACCGGATCATGCCGTGCAAGTCGCGGCATGCCCAATACAATGTCAAACTTATCGTCCAGATCCAGGACGATAAAGGTCTCGACAAACTCTTGATCTTCATACGTGAAGCGCACGCGTATCATGCGCTTCTCGGTCTTCACGACGGCACCCGTTGCCAGTCGTACTTCCAACATACTTCGAGGTATCTTTAAATCCTCGAAGTCAAGCCATGATAGACTTCGCAGCCGAACAAAGTTCTTCGACGCGCCAGAATCTACCAAAGCACGGAGAGAGCCACTTGCTCTCATCGAGTCCACATTCAGGATGACAAGGTCAGGCTTGTCATCTTGGTTCTTGCAGTGAGAATGAACCTCACTGGGGGCTGCGGTCCTCAGTGTCGCGTGTCCAAGGCCGACACGCGGAACTGCATTACCAGTAGGGCGCCCCGCGCCTACTGGCGTCCAGCGTTTTTTGTTTGGTTGCGACGGTGCCCGGCACCGCCGCGATAGCCACCCTGCTGGTGCACGGGGGCCGTGCACTCCCGAGCAAAGTGACCGACTCTACCACAACGGTAGCATCGCACGTTGTTTCCCTGCGACTACTGGGGTCCAGCAGTTGCAGCACTCGAGAGGTCCATGGGTTCTGGTCCTACCGTCCTCACTACCGGGCGTGGCTGTGGCCTCGGCACATGTGCATGCAGCTTAGCCTGCCGCAGGCTAAACTCCTCCTGCATTGCAAGAGTAATTGCAGCTTCGAGAGTATTCGGATACTCACGGAAGAGATCGGTCTTCACAGGCCCATCTCTCAGCTCCTTCATGAACGTGACAACCTTGGTCGCCTCGTCGATCGGATTGGTCACGATGTTCGAGACCAAGTACCGTGCTCTCTGAGCGTAAGCATGGGCATCATGCTTGCCTTGCTGCAGGTCGAGGAACTCCGCCCTCGACCGGAACTCGTTTTGCGGGTGCTCAAACGCTTGTCTGAGCTCCTCCTTGAAACCCTCGTACGTGCTAAAGCACGTAGGATCCGAGAGTCGGCGTCCATACGCCCAACTTCTTGCACGTCCGCCAAGACATGACATGGCGAACGTGACCTTCGACAACGGGTCGACGATGCGTCGAGCCGCAATGGCAGTGTCGAGTTCGACAAGCCAACGGAGGAGAGGCTCGTGTGGTGTAGGAAACACCAGATTTCGCGCGACCAACTCGGCTGGAGTGGTACACTGTACCGGTAGCCGAGCTCAGCCGAGCTCAGCCAAGTTCACCAGCTTATCCGGACACCTTATCCGGCTCAGCCGAGTTTGAAGAATTGTCCGGATAGCTCATCGGGACCAGCCGAGCTCAGGCGTCGCCGAGCTCAGCGAAGAGTCGGCCGAGCTCAGCGAAGAGTCGGCCGAGATCCAAAACCGCCCACTTTCATTTGGTATTTGTATAGGAGCTTAGGAATAGTGGAGGTGCCCCTTCAGGGCGCCCGACAGAGATAACAAACAACAGAGCAGAATTTTGCTAGGCCTAAAGCACGTGTACTCGTTCCGGTAAGTCCCTGCACGGGGCCGGATTATGTCTGCTGCTGGAACCCGAGAGGCATAGCCTGTAGGGTACTCGGCTGGCAGCGCCAAGAGATTAAGGTCGGCCCGGGTTGGGCGCGAGTCTCGCCAAGCGCGAAGGAAAGTCTCGCCACCGCTGCGAGCCGGTGTTCCCGTATGTCCCGGGCACTGATTGCTGAGTCGAGAAGCCTTTGCTCTCGGCGACCTGTAAAAGCGCTCCGTGCGCCGTCGTCCATCCTTTGGTGGAGGGCACAGGGTTGAGTGAACGGAGGCCGTCGAACTTGGCGGTTCTCCGAAGGAGTGATCTTGGTTGGCAGGTCTCGGCGAGAGGCGAGACACCCGCTGTCCCGGTTGGGCCGAACCGCTCGGGGGCAACCCGGCGCAAGCCAACAAAGCCGACCAGCTCGGCTATTGTTGTGTTTGTAGCCAAGTTACCACAACTGACGACTTTGTGTGCACTGCTATACCACAACTGGTGCCGCGACCCGGGAACAGGGGTGTGCTTGTGTTTCGTAGGTACGAGCTAACCAAGGTTTGAGAAGAAGAGAAGAGAGTGTGAAGATGGTCAAGGGAATTGTTACGCCGAGTCCAGCGACGGTTGGAAGTAACTCGGCTGGACTGACCAACTCGGCGGACTCGGCGAATGCGATGATCACGGACGCGACGGCGGACGAGGCGCGCACCGTCCAGTTCGATGAGGAGGATGCCCAAGACCAAGAAAGTGAGGAAGATGTTGAGGATGAGTATGAGGAGAAAGCCGGGCTACTCAGCGAAGTCGACGAGTTGTCGCTGCAAGTCGGACGAATGGGTACCCCACGTCCAGTTGTGCGCAACCTGGCGGCCGAGCTCGGCAATGATACGGACGACGAAGATCAAGCCGCCGCTCAAGGGGAACGCCCGCCCCTGATCCCGCGAGCGACGAGGGATGCGGATACGCCAAGTGCGAACAAGGTTCTGGGTAGGCTCGGAGAGGAGATGCAAGCTCAGAGCGAGTGGATGATGATGTTTGCCCCAGTGGCGATGGCTCAGGCGAGATGGCCGGTGCTGGGACCCGAGCTGACTCAGCCGGTGAACAGCACCGACATCAACCAACTGGTCGAAGACACGGTGCTGCTACTCAAGGCGATGGGGTTCGGGTGCACGAGCCGGCCCAACAGCCTGCTACTCGGCGATTGGGACCCCAGCCGAGCTTCACGCGAAATCCTCAAGTTGAAGCGTCGGTTGAGAGTCTCGTTTGGTCTCGAGCGGGGGGCCGTCGGAACTCGGCAGACTATTGCGAAACGAGTGGCTGATACTCCGAAGACCGTCGAAGACCCCAGCAGGATTCCCCTGCCGAAGACTCCCGAACGCAAGAGAACCGAGGTGTTCCGCTCTACTGAGGGTACGCCGTATTTCGAAGATTCGCATATGAAGACGCCAACGCGTGGCAAGCAGCCAAGTGGACGCTACGCTGAGTTGTTTGGCGCTGCAGACGCAGCCGAGCCCAGCGACAGCGACGATGGGCGCGAGTACCTGAACTCGGCTGAAGAGTCGGTGAAGGACGTCATCAAGCACCTTAGCTTCGATGACGCTGAAAGTGATCGGACGCAATACTTGGAGGTTTGCACCCATGCGTCCCTCGACAAGATCCCTATGTTCGAAGGCAAACGTTACCGACCGGATGACTCTCTCCAGTGGCTTAAGCGGTTCATCTACGAGATGAAAGGAACTCGGCTGGCACAAGACCTCTGGTACGAGCCATTCTCGCTGAAGCTGGAGCGAGGCGCGAAGAGCTGGTATCGCCAGCTCCCGAAGAAAACGCAACGGAAGTGGAGTCTGCTGAGTGAGGCATTCGCCGACTACTACTGTTCGCAGTTTGACCAGTCGGCACGAGCTCGCTATTACTCGGCTCAGCGCAAAGACAACGAGCTGGTGTGTGACTTCCTCGTTCGTCTCAACGGATATGCGAAGTCGGCGAAAATCCAGTACGAGGCCGGTGGAGCGGATGCTGCTGACCATGCGGAACACTTCCTGTTGCACTGCGGAGATGATGACATCATGGATCTGCTCTATCCGCAACAGCTCACCGACACCAAGAAGGTCGAGAAGATCATCAACCAGAAGATCCTGGGGGAGCGCCGGAAGAAACAGCGCGACCGTCTCATCGGAAGCCGCAGCCGAGATGCCAAGCGCACCGATTCGCCAAGGCACTCGGAAGCTCGGCGGAGTGAGCCGCGCCGAGATGACCGCCGGGAACGACGCAGAGATGCCCGCCGGGATGACCGGCGAAGCCGACGCGACGATGGTCGAGACCGCCGACTAGCGACAGCGCTGCTGGAGGACGACCCGTATGAGCTGGCTGAGAGACGCGAATCCAATCGGCGATCCAACCTCTACGACTCGGACAGCGATCAGAGCGACGGCAGCCAGCCGAGCTACTCCGACTCGGCTGTAGACTCGGAAGACGATTACATCGACACCGGGTTCACCAGCGACCGCGACCGTAGATCGGGGGACCGAGGGAACTCAGCTGGGACACCACGGAGTGATCACCGAAGGGGTCAGCCGAGCTCGGCTGACCGCGCCAGTCGAGGATACGATCGGCGTGACCAGACTGGGCGGCGCAGTGACTCCCGTGAACGCCCTTCGTATGGACCTTGTGCTGCCTGCGGTGGTGCAAACCACTCCGTTCACTACTGCCGCCGTCGCTGCAAGTTCTGCAAGTAATTGCACGATGTCGGTCAATGCGAGCTGTTCCAGCGCTATGAGAAGCTCGCCGCATTTGTCAAGTCCAATGTCGACAAGTCCAAGTTACCTGAAGACCTCCAGGACCTCTACACGCCGAGTGATTTAAACTCGGCGGCCCGCCAACACTGACTGGGTTGGATGATACCGGGCTGCCACAGTCAGCTGAGCCAGCAGTAGAGGCGAACTTTGTGTTTGCCTTTGTGGGTGAGGCAGGAAGGCCCGAGGACCGAAGAGAAGACGACGTATTGGATTGTGAAAGCGATGGACTTGATGGTGAGCTCGGCGAGAGTGGAGAAGAAAGCCAAGCAAGATTGTGCAATGCAGTTGCGACTCAGCGATCGACGAATGTGACCACAGCCACCAGAGTTATGAAGCTGCTCCCTGGGGAGCGACTCGGCTGGTGGTCGTCACAAAAGTTTGACCGCCGAGTTCGGATGAGAGCTCTCGTTATGGGAGCAGTGAACGACCAGCGTACAAGATATTGCTCGACACCGGTGCGAATGTGTCGGCAATAAGCGAAGGGTTCGCGAAGAGGCTGCGGTTGAAGCGGTTCACATGCCAGGACCAACAGATTGGCGTTCAAGGTATTGGGAAAGGCAAAGTGGCGACGATGTCACGAGCGATGGTAAAGGTGACGCTCGGCTGGGAGGTCACGTATGAATTTGAAGTATGGATCCTCGATCACCACGCAGGAGTCGAGTTGATTCTCGGTACGGACTTCATGATTCCGGCTGGAATCCGCCTGGATCTGTACAACTCGGTGGCGAAGTTGCCAGATGAAGTTGTCCTACCTCTCGTGAGGTCCCAGAACTCAGCGGATGAACCGAAGGGCGGCCTCTACATCACAGACGGCCCGACCGAACCGGTGAATCTCGAGAGCCGACTTGGACGTGGTGCCCAGCACATTTCCCAGTGGTTGCCTGGGCGCCGCATGGGGTGTTACCGCCCGATGGTTACGTCAGGTTGCACTCCGCGAAGTACAAAGATTGGCAAGTCATGGCCTACGAAGCGGCTATGGATAAGGATCTGCTGCAAAAGGAACAACAGCTGTACGCCGAGTGGCTGGCTCGACAGCCGTCAGCTGTGGACCGTAGAAACTACCCTGAACCGAAAGGGGTGACTACGTGGCCGTCTACCAAGCCGCGGGATTCGGCACTGACTTGCGCCCAGCAATGGGAGAAGTTAGCCGAGTCGAAGGAGCGAGCCGAGGCAGAAGCAGCCGATAGTCCACCCTCGACTCTGACAGAGCCAGCGAACTCGGCTACCGCTACCCTAGCGCCTGAGGAATTAGCATTGAGCGCGGAGCCTACTGCTGACTTGGTCAATGGCCCGCCTAGTCGAGCAGAGATCACAGTGACGGCTGGTCAAGAAGCGCCCAGCCAAAACGCCTGTGCAGCAGATGAGTGTGAAAGTGAGCAATCCAGCGATTTGTCTGACTGGACGATCATCAACGACCCCGGGCCCAAGCCGCCGAGTCCAAGGCTCGAAGATGAGGTCGATGTGAGCGACGAGCCCATGTCGTCAGACCCGGAGGAAGACCTGCGCTTACGTTACCTTCTGGCAGCCAAGTACGAGGACGAGACAGATGGTCGAGGCGACTCGGCGGGAGACTCAGCCGAGTTCGAGCACCAAGCAACGAACTTGGAGCTCGAAGGCTATGCTCGCGAGTTGGCGTTCCTGCCCGATCTGACTGAAGCGGTGTCGACGCCACTCGACTATGAAGCGCCAAACGTTCGGAGCTCGGCGCACACTCGGCCACAGTCTACTCGGCTGGTGGAAGTATTGAAGAACCATGAAAAGATCATGATCTCCAGTCGTAATGCCCTACCTCCACCAGCATACGGCGTAGTGTGTGGCATCGACGTACAGGGGCATCCGGCAATCCGCCAACGAGCCCGCCGAGTTCCGCTGAAGCATCTCGGCAAGTTGTACGAGCTGCTCAAGGCGCTGTTACGGGCTCGGCTAATTGCCTTCTCGAACAGCCTATGGGCATCACCCATCGTGATTGTCCTAAAGAAGAATGGGGTCGACATTCAGTTGTGTATCGACTACAAGCTGGTAAACGCGCTTACGTTGCTCATGGAGTATGCCATGCCGCTAGTGGACGATCTCCTCACGGAGCTGGAAGCGTACCTATGGTTCTGCTCTTTGGATGCTGCTAGCGGTTTCTGGGCGGTCATGATGACTCGACGGGCGCGTTGGATCTCGGCTTTTGTTTGCGTGATAGGCCACTTCGAGTGGCTGCGGATGCCCTTCGGATTAAAGAATACCCCAATGATCTACCAGCGCCTTATTGATAACGCTCTGTGGGGTTACGTACAACCCAAGGGCGGCTGGAAGGTGTTCGCCAAGCGCATCCAACAAGCGGAAGCCGCCTCAGAAGCTCAGCGGAAACGGCCCGCAGCCGACATCGACTTTGAAGCCAGTGGCCAGACCAAGTTTGAGGCCGACCGCCGAGCTCAAGCTGAGTTTGACCCATTGGAAGAATTCATTAACATCCCAGAAGCCGACATGTTCCGGACGGGTGAACCTGATGAATCGTGCCTTGCACCGGTTTTCGACCGGCGATCGTTTGTGGACGATATCTGCTTCGGTGGGAGGACGTTCGACGATTGCTTGGGGACGCTTGACCGATTGCTGCAACGCTTCACTGAATGCCGCATCAGCGTCAGCTTCCCGAAAAGCATCTTCGTCCAACCTAAAGTCGACTTCCTGTCACATGGGGTGACCTCGGCTGGAATCTAAGCCGACCAGAAAACGATGCTGGCGATAGCCGGGCTACCGTTCCCGACGACGAAGAAGGGGATGCAAGCATTCATAGGAGCGCTGAACTACTACGGCCGGTTCATCCAGAACCTGGCTGTATATGGTGCGGTCCTCTATCAGCTGAAGGACGAAGATTTCGGACCCGGCGGTGATCTGACGGCCGCAAAAGCGGCGTTCGCCGAGCTAAAACAGCAGGTGGTCAACGCACCCGTACCCCGCCACTTCAACTCGGCTGAGGACGTCCAGGTTATGCTATTCGCCAATGAGTGGGCTCTGAGTAGCACGCTGATGCAGCTCCACGACGGGAAGCTCCATCCAGTGCGGTTCTGCGGCCGAGTCCTTAAGGATAATGAACTCGGCTACCATCCCGCCGAGAAAGAAGTTCTCGCCTTGCTACAGCTCATCAAGGTGTGCCACACGTTGCTCGCCGGGAAGACCATCCATGCTTACACCCGCTACTCGACTCTCGAATGGGTGTTCCAGTCGAAGTCTCTCTACGGCAGAGCAGTCAGCTTTGCGGTACTGCTATCACCGTTCCACCTAAAGGTCAAGCGAGTCCGCGAACGGGACACGGATTTCGCCCAGTTGCTCCAAGCGTCCATCACGCCGGCAGTGGGATTGGACAAGCCACTAACGCATGTCACTCCACCGTCCAAGAACTCGGCTGTGGTCCGCATGGACCCAGAATTGCTGTATGCGCATGTGCCCCGAGACTTCAAGGGACACGTCCTGTCGTTTGACGGATCGGCGAAGACTGCTAAACACGGCGGGTTCGGGAGTTGTTCTTGGATCCTGTGGCGTTTGCCAGACTGGAACATTGAGATCGCTGCGAGCGCGCACCTCCCATCGACCACGGTGAATAGTACACCGGCATGAACAATGGGGTGACCTCGGCCATTGAGCGCGGGGTGACGGATTTGATCATCGTGGGCGACTCCCGGCTTGTGATCCAGCAATCCATGGGGGCGATCGCGTGTAAGAAGGAGGCATTGCAAGTCGAGTTAGCACGCCACACGAAATTGGCCAGCAAGCTGAGTTCAGTTCGCTACCTCCACGTAGTGCGTCTCTACAACTCGGCTGCTGACTCTTTAGCGACCGAAGCACTGGAAACCAAAGCAGGAAAGGTCGTGCTAAGCGCCGGACGGAAAGCCGAGTTGAAGACCCTAACTGGGATCTCTGAGGTCCTGTACGTGAACACGGACTCGGCTGCAGCCCCGGCCGAGGGTGTTGAGATGGCTGCCGTGACAAGGAGTCAAGTCCGCCCAGTCCGTTTCGAAGACGAAGCGGCAGAACACCCAGTCCCGGACCCAGCTACGGATGAGGAAGCCGAACGTAATGACTTTGAACGAGATAGCCGACCTCCGCCTGCTAGACAGCGGGTGACGGGAGAAGCCGAGTTCGGTAGCGCAGCACCACCAGCTAACCCAGCTAACCCAGCTGAGCTGGTAGCCGAGCTCGGAGAAGCCCGGGAGCCCAACGCCATGGACATCGATCCGGTAGTGGTCCAAGCTGAGCGCCGCCTGCGAATAGCAAGAGCTCAAGACGAGGAACAACGATGGGCCGACTTGAAGACCTACCTGAGAGGGAATTATGCGCAGCTCACAACGCTGGGAAAGTTGCCGACGAGTTTGTGCTCAGCGAAGACGGGCTATTGTACCGACAAGGCAAGGCCAGACCACCTGGCGAACTCGGCGAACTAGGCTTATCCCTTCGACTGGTGGTTCCGACGACCATGATAGACGAGGTCCTGCAGAACGGACACAACTCCATCGAGGGAGGCCACCAAGGGATTGTGCGGACATACCACAGGGTCAGAGCCGACTACTACTGGATTGGGTTGTACGCAGACGTGGTCAAACATGTCCAAGGTGCGAAGACTGCAGAACCAGTAAGAGCAAACCACACCTGAAGGGCTATTCATCTGGCAACGTAGTGTCTGAGCGACCGTTCCACGTGGTATCGATGGACTTTGTCATACCACTGCCGAAGACTCGGCGGGGCAACACTGCACTCCTGTTGTTTCAAGACCACTTCACCGGGTTCGTGATTGCTAAGGCAATGAGTGAGACTGGGGCACTTGAGGTAGCGAAGGCCTTCGAAGAGAACGTGTTCCGGAGGTTTGGAGCTCCATCACTGGTACGCCACGACAGAGATCCCCGGTTCATGAGTGAAGTGTTCCAGAAGTTCTCGGAGATGATGCAGTCCAAGTCGAGAGCGACGCTGAGTTACCGACCACAAGCCAACGGTCAGCAAGAACGCTCAGTGAAGACCATGATCCAGACTGTGCGTGTGTACGTGGAAGACCCTCTTCAAGCCGACTGGGATGATGTAGCCGAGAAGCTCGTCCATGCCATCAACAATTCGAGAGACTCGACTCGGCGGGAGACCTCGTTCTACGTGGTACACGGATGGGACGCTCGGTCTACAATCAAGGCGATGACCGAGTCAGTCAGGCTCGGCAGGGGCAACTCAGCTGACTCAACGGGGGCAGCCGAATGGCGCAGGGAAGCACACCGACAGAGAGAGGTGGCTTTGAAGCTTGCGGCCGAGTTCCAGTTGAAGGAGAAGAAACGGAGAGCAAAGGAACACAATGACGGACTCAGCCGAGTCGAGCAGAGAGCTGTCCCAGCCGGGGAGGAAGGGACGGTTACCCCAGCGAACTCACCCGAGGGAGCAGCCGAGTCGACTGAGGAAGGTGACGAGTTAGCCGAGTCGAGGAAGTCACTATTCAAGGAAGGTGACCAAGTTTGGTTGTTCATGGAACGAGTCAGACCTGGCTTGACCACATCGATGGCATGGGCCATTCCGAGTGAAGATGAAGGTGGAGGAGTTTGCCTACGAGCTCGAACTCCCGGACAAGAGCGGATACCGTTTCTAACCTGTGATACATGTGTCACGTCTGAAAGCGGTCACGGGACTCGGCGAGCGGTCGACAACTAGGCTAGTAGCCGACTTAGCCGAGTCGGATCGTCTCGACGTTGACGAGAAACTCCTTCCTGAAGATAGCTGGGAGCCCGACGAAGCAATGAATGAATACGAAGTCGAAGCCATCCTGGACGACGAGTTGTCGCTCTCTACGAGCACCTCCAAAACTCAGCGGAAGTTCAAGGTCAAGTGGGTCGGCTATGATGAGCCAACCTGGGAGCCGCTGTCGAATTTGTCGTGTGGGGACTACTTACGGCAGAAGAAGCGTGAAAACCGTCTGCAAATGGTGCAAGTTGCAGACGAGGATTAAAGCTATTGCGCCAAAATGATGAACCCGCCAACTCAGTGAAGACAGCAGAGGCGAAGGAAGCTACTGCGTCAAATTGCATACATTACATGAATTACACCGAAGAATGCTGGGAAAGGAAGAAGAGCTCGGCGGCTGAGCCGCACGTTACGAAGACGAAGGACCCTGTGAATGCGCGACAGAGAACACGACGGTAGCAGCAGCCGCTGCGAGGAGACCAATCGAACCTTCAGTGTTCGTAGCTGAGCCGACCGAGCTATCCGCTGCTCCCGCAGTCTGCACAGCCGAGTCCGCTGAGCTTGAAGCCGGAATAGCCGAGTTGTTAGCCAGAGGGACACTCGATCCTGCGCTCGACTCAGCTGGAGACCCAGGTGACGCCGAACCAAAGAGGGAAGCCGTGGGAGAAGGGTCGCACACGTTAGGCGACCCGATCAACGGAGACGCCGGATCCGCATCGCCAGCGGCCCAGCCGAGCTCACCAGCTTCACAACCTTGGAAGATGTGGATTCCTGCACGGTTGACCGGAGTCGGAGCACTTGACGAAATCTGGGGAGGCGCAGGCTCGTCGAGGTCCACATCTTCGTCGACAGCATCCTCGACTAGGCGCGGATCCACACCAGCGGGAGCGAAAACCATGAATTCCAAGTTACGCGTCCGGAAGCGGGTGTTGTACGGGTGCGTCGCTGGGTCGGTCAACCACCAAGCTCGCCAAGGCTCGGAGTCGTCTATAGACTCGGCTTCAGCACACCAGTCTCTGCCCGCAGGAATCCAAGCAAGATTGACCAGCGGATACAACGGGACCGACGGCTCGAAGAAGAGCTCCGCGTCAATTTCCGGGGCAGCAAGCCCGCCGAGAAGCTTCATCACTGCAGTGAACAGGTCGTCCGGCAGGATAGGCATGAGACTTCGGAGGGCATCGCCTCGACGCTTGCGAGCCAACTTGTACAACACCCACGTGTCATACATCTCGGCTATCACGTGATACGGGAGCCCCGTGTGAAAAGCCGGATGTAGCCCCATCAGCACACTCGACTCGACCATCCAGTGACACCGCTCGAACAGTGCTACGAAGAACTTGGTAGGACCCTCTTTGTCACAAACCGAGTTCGGAGCCTCTCCGCGGATCTTCACGAACACTTCTGCGAGACGCTCCATCAAGGTCACCGACTTCACCGAGTTCGTCAACCGGCGCTTGGCATCGTCGAGGACTTGAGGGGAGAAGAAGATAGGAGTCTTGGGAAGCAGACGAAGGAGCCGCTGAGCCGGGTGATCCGGATGGTAGACGTCCGCGAACGCTTTAATCTCAGCGAGGGAACAGAGCGTAACCGGCACACTACCCTTCGCCGACGCGTCATCCACAGTGACCTTGGCCGTTTGATGACTGAGGATTGCCTCCCAGCACCGCCGAGACCCGTAATGAACGAAGCGGATGTCACTCAGCTGAGCTAGCTGGGGAGTGATCCGGGCATCTCGGCCGACCGCCTGGCGAGCTCGAGTGCGCAGCTGAGCGAGCGAATAGCGTAAAGCTGCAGGCTACTGAGGGAGAACGTGGGCGCCAGCGTCATGAGCGGTCACGATAGGCACCGACAGGGTTGAAGCTGGACCAGCAGAAATAGGCGACGGCGAAACAGCCGAGCTCGATGGGATGCCAGAGCTCCCAGCCGAGTTGTTAGTCGAGCTGGAAGCGGCCGAAACCTCAGCCGGATCGACGGCCGAGTCCCCAGTCCAACCTCGCTGACGCTTGGACGGGCGGGGGTCCTTAGCCGAGTCCGGAGACGCAGACCTCTTCGACTTCTTTGACCCTGCCGACTTCGACTTCGACATCGACTTGTGTTTGTGCTTATGCCCGTGCTTGTGCTTGAGCTTGTGCTTGCACCTCCGCTTGCGCTTGCCCTTACCGCTCTGCTTCTTGGAACTCGGCTGTGAGTCTGAGTCACCTGACTCGCTGGACGGAACGAGAGGCGATTGACGAGCAGCCATGTAGCTCTGGATCTTCCCGTGCGGAGGTGGGAGCGCAGAAGCTAACGAAGCCCGGCGAGATGCGTCAGGGTCGGCCCAACTGAGCTCGTCAGCAGATCCAGGGTCGTCAGCCTCAGATTCAGAGCTCTCGGACACAGACAACGGATGTGCTGAGGTTCCAGGAGCTTTCAATCCAAGAGCCGAGCCCGACGAACCAGAGGAAGAGCTACACCGAGCGGACCGGAGGACGAGATAGTCAGGAGTCTCTAACAGATCCAAGCAGTGAGCGTTCAACACTCGGGCAGTAGCCGCAGTGGAGCGTAAAGGGCGACCCGATGGGAAGTCATCCCAGCTGAGCTAGGAGGAACCGCTGGCCGGGTCGAGGCCACCGACGGAGTGCTCGGCATTGGGGTGACTACAGTCGACGCCACCCCTGACGGGCCACGACGACTCTGGGCTTGATTGGCAAACCGGGAACGAGTACATGTCAAGAGCCGGTGAGCGGCCGAACCCGGAGAAGACTGCGAATGTGGCGAAGCACCGAACAAGAATTTCCAACTGCAATGACATCAAGCGACATGGTGGCAGAACGATAGGCAGGGATCAGGCTGCGGTCGCGGATCAAGAGGGTCTATCGAGAGATCTCAAGCGATTGGATAACGTCGACGCGTAAGGCAACGCATATGTCAAGACAGATTACGGGCGATCGCGCTTGGACTGCGGCGTGATTCGACGTAGACCCAAGCCCGGATCGACGACCAATCTCGCAGATCTAGGGCGGCCGAGGACAGAAGAGGACGGATCGGCAGCGCACGGCAACTCGCACAGGTCATCGATCGGGAGTTGATCGCCGATCGCCGATCGGGATCGATCGTGGATCAGGAGGCGATCGTGGATCGGGAGCCGATCGTGGTTCGCCGATCGACCCGGATGGGAACCACATGGGGGCGAAGCCAGGGCAAGAATCCAGTAATCGTTTGGTTGTAGGATGGTAGATGAGATGGCAGCGGTAGAGAGAGACCAGCTAAACATAAATCAGAACGCAATTTGCACAGAAGACCACAAGTGCCCTCAAGTCGTCAAGTCCCAGGAGCTACATTGGCCTCGGCAAGCGTTGACACGTCGGGTAGTAAACTAGCGGTACGGTTAAGACTGGATTAATACATTGGCCAGCTTGACCTACTCTAGTGATCTTTCTCTCGTGTGCAAGTCCTCGATCGACCGGATACTGCTTGGCCGGCGATCGCTGCGTCTCTCAATCGACCTCGATCCCGCTATAGGAAGCGGCAAGCAACTCAGGAAAGGAAGGAACACACCCGGAAAGGCAACTACAGGCCTTGGATCTACTCCAGGCCGACCGATCGAAGCGAAGAACCCTCGATCGGAGCGTATACTCGGACGCAGAGCGAAGACTACCGTGCTGCTCCACAAACTATCCCCGCGTCACGCCAAGACACCAAGTGCTGCATCTTCGGAGCCCCGAGAGAGCAGATCCAGCCCGCCGACGGGTACACAAGGTGAGAACAAGTTCAGCCGATCACGGATCGTTGGGGGAACCCCTCCGTTAGTCGGTGTCTGGGCGCTGGTGGGAAGCTCGATCAGGCCTTAACCAGATTTTGGCCGATCCCGCTACACCACACGAAAGCCGAGGCGGAATCGCAGCGGAGCTGTTAATTGTACCCGCAGCCGAGACTCCAGCCGTCGAGCTCGGCGCAATCACAGCATGCGTTGTAGCAAGCGCCGGATCGGGAGCAGAGGAACCCGGTTGTCCTCCGGCGCCGACAGTCGATGTCACCACAGCCGCGCTCGGCACGCTGGTCGAGGGAGGAACCCACTGGACACGAGTCGGGAACGGAACCGAGGCAGGAAGAGAAAAAGCGGACGGAGTTGCAGCAAGGTCAGCAGATCCAGGCAACGATACAACAGCCACTCCGCTTGAAGGCGTCTGCACCGGGGAGGAAGAGTAAGGCACGAGTTGCACGGGCGGTACACTCACGGTCGGGCCGGCGGGCCCCCTCGGAAGCTCGGCGGAACCAGGCACTTCGGTGAACTCGAACAAGAGGTCCTCTTCCAGCGAGTGAACCTCGTCGCCGGCCTCCACATTCACATCGTCGACAGTCAACCCGGCTAAGTTCAAGCTCGACCGGAGCGATAGGTCGCATGCGGCGTCAGTCTCTTGGGCAGCCTTTTCAAGCTGGACCAACGCGTCCTCATGGCCGACCTCACCAGGAAGTGGACACGCGTACGGCTGCTCGTGGCTTCTTGGGCTTGCGCTGAGAACCAGCCGCCGTCGCTGACTTCGGGTTTGAGTAGCGAAGTAATTTTTCGGTGGGTGTTAGAGTATCCAGCCGAGCTCGGTGAACCTGGTCGACCGACTTGCTGCGGCGACGGCGCGAAGCAGAAGTGGACACGGGCGTAGAAACCGCACCAGCCGACACAGGATTGGCGGCAGATGATGCGGGAGACTCGCTTGGAGGGGCCGGAGCCTCAGACCCCGTCAGCCGGGTTGATTGTCCAAGGAAAGAACCAGCTGAGCTCACGGGCGCTGGCAGAGTAGTAGCAGCGCCGTCCGCTCGCGGGTGGATGGTCAACTCAACTCGGCGAGTCTCTCCAGCCGGGATGTCCATCACCTCCGGGAAACGTTGAGCCAAGATCCGGCATAACCGAGCATTGAGCTGCAAGTCAGCAGGGCTCAACCCAGGCACGTCCAACCCGGCTGCAGCTGCAGCAGCCATGTGAGGATCATGCATGGGTAAAAGACCCATGCGAGAAAGGACACGCGTCTGTCGGAGGATGACCTCACGCTGGTGTTTGATGGTGGCCTTGGCATCACGGAGAGGCTGCAGTTGCTCGAAGTGCTTGGTCGAGATCCCCTGGAGCACAGCGTACTCGGCGTCACGAGCCGAAAGAAGCTGAGTCAAACGCTCAATCTCCGAGTCGCGTTCTCTGAGCTGCCTGCCGAGATCCTTAGCGTGAGCGAGAGCCGACTTCACTTTATCATCCTGAGACTTGCGAGCCGACTTCAAGGAAGCTTCAGACTCGGCCATCGCCTTCCGGAAGCTGGTCAGAAGAGGGGACGACTTCTTCGACTCGGCTTTCCATCGGTCACGCTCCTCCTCGACAGTCTTCAACCGTTCCTCGAGGTCGGCCATCACAGCCGCCTGTGAATCCAGCCGCCGAGTCAAGTCAGCGTTAATAGTCCGAGCAGACTCCAGCTCGACCCTCAGTGCAGCGACGTCACTAGCTTGACTTGAAGGTTGGCGCTGACCGCGAAGGAGGCTCACGAGTTAGCTGACGGACGTCGCCTCGAGGGCAGCTCGGCGGACCTCTCTATCAGCCACCGGCGCGGGACGAGTGATCACGAACGACAACAGCCGAGCCAAGTCCGCGTTCTCGATGCGGCGTTGCTCGGACTGCGCATGGATCAGCGCAGCGAGAGAGTCGAGACTCACCGGCCCAGCCGAGTCCGACCGACCAAGGTCGGCGGCGTCCGAAGTGGTGTCGCCACGCGGACTCGGCAAGCAGCGATGAGAAGTGCGAGATGCCGGCTCGGACTCCCGGTCGAACCCACGGGATGTTGTCAGATCGATGACAGGGTGCATCTGCCCATCGCTGACCCCGCGAGCCCGGGACGCCGAGTCGACCAACTCAGCAAACTTCCCCTCATCTCGCGCGGGCGGATGTGAAGACTGCAAAGACGACGCAACTGAAGTCTGTGAAGATCAGTAGAAGAAGGGTCAGCAGCAGAATGGATGGAGCTGTCGGAGGCGAGGAACGTACCGGAGGAGCGGCAGGAGAGCCGGACGACGACATGGCGCGGAGACTTGTTCGCTGCCGTTGGAGTTTTGGCCGAGATTGGACTCGACTCAAGGAGTGATGGTCAGGTCCCTCACCAACTCGGCTCGGAACATGACCGGGGCAGTTGTGGTGTAGGAAACACCAGATTTCGCGCGACCAACTCGGCTGGAGTGGTACACTGTACCGGTAGCCGAGCTCAGCCGAGCTCAGCAGCTTATCCGGACACCTTATCCGGCTCAGCCGAGCTCGAAGAATTATCCGGATAGCTCATCCGGACCAGCCGAGCTCAAGCGTCGCCGAGCTCAGCGAAGAGTCGGCCGAGATCCAAAACCGCCCACTTTCATTTGGTATTTGTATAGGAGCTTAGGAATAGTGGAGGTGCCCCTTCAGGGCGCCCGACAGAGATAACAAACAATAGAGCAGAATTTTCTAGGCCTAAAGCACGTGTACACGGTCCAGTAAGTCCCTGCACGGGGCCGGATTATGTCTGCTGCCGGAACCCGAGAGGCATAGCCTGTATGGTACTCGGCTGGCAGCGCCAAGAGATTAAGGTCGGCCCGGGTTGGGCGCGAGTCTCGCCAAGCGCGAAGGAAAGTCTCGCCACCGCTGCGAGCCGGTGTTCCCGTACGTCCCGGGCGCTGATTGCTGAGTCGAGAAGCCTTTGCTCTCGGCGACCCGTAAAAGCCCTCGAGGGCCGTCGTCCATCCTTTGGTGGAGGGCACAGGGTTGAGTGAACGGAGGCCGTCGAACTTGGCGGTTCTCCGGAGGAGTGATCTTGGTTGGCAGGTCTCGGCGAGAGGCGAGACACCCGCTGTCCCGGTTGGGCCGAACCGCTCGGGGGCAACCCGGCGCAGGCCAACAAAGCCGACCAGCTCGGCTATTGTTGTGTTTGTAGCCAAGTTACCACAACTGACGACTTTGTGTGCACTGCTATACCACACCTCGCTCAGAGCCCCAGCAACAGCGCGAGGCTTCTTCTTGAACACCTTCGCCACAAAAGGCTGCTCAACGTCAGTCAATTCATCTTGTGAGAGGCAACTCTGGCCGAACCATCATCAAATTCAGCAAAAACATGGTCAATACCTGGTCAATACCTGAACCAACTTGCAATACCTGGTCAATACATAGGTGAAACCTGGACATACCTGTGAGGCGAGGCGGGTGAACGCCTGACCGCCCAGGTGTATAGCTTGGCGCGTCCCGGGTGTAGACTCCCGAATGGGGTGCACCCAGAACAAACCCTATCCGGATATAGTACACCTAGATGTACACTCCAACCGGGGTGGCGTGTGTCCTTGTGAACAATCCCTGTGGGTTCGTTTGTCTTCGTAACCAGGGGTCTTCAACCGTGGATGAGTTGTCTTGATACTTGTAGGTCGCTAGGTAGCAGGGCAGAACGTAACCTTCCTGGATGTCGCCTCTGACAGCCCTCAGACAACCAAACAATACAAACAGATACAGAGTTATATACAAACACGTAGCCCTTCCTTATTCTTTTGGACCGTGAAAGGGTCGGTCACTACTCCAGTCAACTCCAGCCGGACTCCGGGATACTGGTCAATCCCGGTCGGCTTTGGCTCACGCGCACCACCCTCAAGTATTGAGGGAATCTAACACAATCAAATACCTCCTATCACACGATAGCTCTTAAATCCGTACTTACCACCCGGGCTACTCCAACCGGGGCGACAAAGTAATCGGTAATATGAAATGCGGGGCCTTCCTGGTCTGGACGAGCTCAACCGCAACTAGGAAATGAAATGGGATGGATCAACCTCGGGTTGTCACCCGGTACTCACCCCAACTTGGACTGGACTTGGTTGCGGGAGCTCGACCCAGATGTAACAGTTGCTGGGCCCTCACACGTAGACTTAGTCGGTCCTCCGGGAATGCACGTCCGGTAGGCTGCTCCAACTCACTTGCGCGATCCTTGGCAAAACGAACTCTTTGTTTAGGGCTTATTCATCCAATTATCTTCTAGTTTTTCTGGGTTTTATGGGTCGTGTTTTCCCCCGTACGTCCAGGTTTCGCAGCATCAGTCCCTTGGTCCCCCAGGTATGGTCCTTCCGGTGAGCAACTCCAAAGTAACTTCAACTATCTCCGCCTGGGCGCGGCATCCGCCCCTTAGTCCCACAAGCATCGTTCTTCCTGCAGGCAACCCCCAAGGTAGCTGGTCACCACGGGTTAATCCCTCTCAGCCTTGATGCCCCATGGTCCTCCGGGCACGTCTCCATCCGGTAGGCAGTTCCATGGTAGCTATCGCCGACGGGGTAGCACGAACCCTTCTTTTCCGAAGGGGAGAGTTGTCTTGCCCACGCGTGTAGCTACGGCGTCGGCGCCACGACGATCCAGCACGCCTACTGGAACTTCACGACAACGACGTTCCATCCGAGCTTACTTCCTTGATGCGCTCCCGGGCGTTCCCGGCTGCATGCGCTCGCAGTCACTAGCCCCGACGCGGTCCGGCTTGGCCACTTGTCTTCCTCCTACGGGGTGTGCTTCCATAGGCAGCTACAAAGCGACTTGTCACCGGGCAGGTAAAACGAACTCTGTTTATCTGTTATCTGTGGTCTCTCTCTCTGTCTGTCTGGCTATCTTCTGTCGATCTTTACATGCACTCCATCTTGCCTTGTCTTCACTATGGTCTTGTCGTCGTAATCGTCCGCGGTCCCTCGTAGCACACTTCCAGCAAGTATAATCATCACTGGGTACGCAAGCGAAGTTCAATGTTCCACGGAATCCGAAGAGATCTTGGCTGGTCGGCGTGGTCGGTCGGAAACATCTTGGACTTTGTATACTGGATCTTTACATCTGGGATGGTATCTTGGTATCTTGGTATCTCCATCCGGGATTCATGATTATCTCCAAACGGGATCACACTGCCACTTGGGCTTCACATCCGGGATGTCTTGGACAGCTTCACGGTTTCTGGGACTTCACTCGATCCGGTCGGGCTCCTCTTGCGTTGCACAGTGCACCAAGAGCAGGCGGCCTCCAGTCGGAGGCACTTCTACGCTCCCTTGGGCTTTGCCTCTCGTTCAGTACTTGGTTCCAGCCGGGGTCCGCTCTTGGGGACATCTCCATCCGGGGTCACCAAACCTTGTACACTGCCAACGCGAGTCCGGCCGGGATCCGCTCTTCCCATACGCCACGTGTCGCTGCCTCCCTCTTCCATAGTGAGCCTCTGAGCCAACCAATCACAGGCGCGGCTCGGGGAATCCTCGAAAATCTCCAATTCCATCGTGTCGCCTGGGTGATATGGATGAGAAGGGAATGATCAGAGGGTTCCCGCACGTCTTCCGATACGCCATCGCGTCTCTGCACGGCAGCGTCATGATTTGTGCGAACTCACAGTTGCATCTCCAGCCCTCCTTCTCGAGTGTATACTCGTGTTCATCATACTGGACGGTGAGCGTCGTGCCATTGTCCTTGAATGCGTAATTGCCAACAATTGTGTGGTGTAGTGGATGAAGATATTTTTGTGCGGACAGCATCGACAACCCAAGATCAACAAGGCGGCCGATATCGACTCCGTGGAATAACACCAACGACGTGCGGCCCGGCGTAGTTTGGAACTCTATCAACGAGCACGAAGGTCGAGTCTGGGACTTCAAGTGATACAGCTTCTTCGGAGATGCTGGCGAGCCAATCCCCAGTATATCCGATCCAAGTCGACGATATCGGTCTTGGCGAGGATGACGTGATCTCGGAAGAAGAGTGATGTTATCAGCCCCATGGGTTACACAAACACTGCACGGAGAGCCAGCGGCATCACCAGTGTTCAAGGGAGCCAGAGAGCACGCGCCAGGACCATAAGAGGGCAAGAGAACGATAGGACAAGGACTTAGGCAAAGCTAACATTTAAACAGAGTTCATTTTACCTCCTTCTTCACAAGTGGTCTTCGCCTTCGCAATATCGGGCACGGGATATACTTTGGCCCACCCGACACTACGTGAGTCGACTTACACCCCAAGATCAAGGAACCTCGGACACCAGGATAGCTTGGCCCAGCGTCCGTCAACCCTCACTTCGACCCACCGCTAGAGGAAGCGGCAAGCAAGGAAAGGAAAGGAAGGTCACACACCGACCACAAGGCAACTCCAGGCCAAGATGACACCTGGCCGGCGAGTGTCGATCCAGACAACCCCAGATTGAAACCGCCACAACTACTCCGGCACAGCGTGAAGCATATCCGCGTTGCTGCCACAAGCTCCCGCTGTCCGCCAGACAGTCTAAGACTCAACCCCAAGCGCGTCTTATCGAGATCACCCGAAGAGCGATCCAGCCCACCGACGGGTACACAAGTTGAGGATCAGCAACTTCACGGAAGATCGGAGTACCCCCTCCGTTAGTCGGCAGTTCGGGCGCCGTGTGCAAGAGGACCCCCGCGATCTGCAAATTTCGCGGATCCACTTCGCCACAATTGAGTCATCCGTTGCGACGTCATACTGCGTCTTGATCGCCGCAGCTACCCAACGCGTCGTCATGCCAAGGGCAATGTTAATCTGCTCACAGTAGGAAACGTCTCGCAACGTCCCGGGCATCTCCACCTTGGCCTTGTACTCCTTTTCCTTTCGTCGCTGGTAGACCAGTAGGACTTTCAGGCTTCCACGCATAGTCAGGTGGCCCTTCAAGTAGCGTTTCAGCTTTCCGAACAAGCTGATCAAAACCTGGTAACACGTAGCCAAAATCTGTAAACATAATACAGATACTCACTGGTTGGTCTGATGCATGCAGTCCATTTGAATCACTTCTCGGAATCTGTCCAGCATAGCGCGCATATGACCGCTCGTGAAGGATATCACGCCAGTCTCGCCGTGCGCGTTCTCATGCACCGAGGACACGTTCAGTGGCGACTCCAAGTTGAAATTCACGATCATCTCCGCCACTGAGTCGTCGTCAGATAGCTCAATTCCTAGTCATCACTGTCAATAAAGTCAGTTTCACAGACAACTCATGTTATCACAACAATAACTTGCCTATCTTGTGCATCCGCGCAACCAGGTTTCGAACGTCGTCCATTGTGACGCGGTGGTTGGAGTTCTCACAAATGTAGTTGTAGATGCTTGAAGTCCCAGCGTCGGCGTCGACTAGCAGCTCAATGTCCGGCATCAGAGCAGAGCCCGCGGGAACCTGGCGAATATCTGGATAAGACCTGTAGATACTGTCGGAAATGGGGTGGTTATGGCTGTAGACTTCGCGCTTCATGACGATGCCCCACGTTCCATCTCGGCGCATGACGACTTGAGCTAGCATCTGAAACGGACAGTCCGTGCGGCGGAGCTTGTGCGACGTCCTCTTCCCAGTCGACCTCTCATGCTCCTCCCAGCCGTGTGTGTAGATGTACTTGCGCTGATACGGCTCCCATCTGTCGGGTACGAGCGGAATCTCGGAGTTCGGAGGCCCTTGGAAGCGAACCTGCTTACGCAAGTCTGCGTTGCGGCGAGTGACGTTTATCACCTCCGCGATGACGATCTTCTGTCGCGTCGCCTCCATGTACTCCTGCATGCTGACGTCGAGCAGTGGCCACGAGTCGTGCTGAGCCTTGAACGCTGGGACCACGACAGGTCGTCGCTGCCGCTCTCCGCGATGCTGCCCTTGAGGCGGCTGCAACGATGGATTGCGAGTCATGCTGTCTAAGTTGTTGCTGCGGTTGCTGCTGCGTTTTGGCTTGCTGAATTTGGAGTTCACGATGACCATTTTGCGTAGCGAAGCCACCAGAACAGAGGGGCCAGAAGGAGGCACCAGAACTGAGGAACCAGAACAGAACTCAAATTTTTGAGCATGGCCATCTGCGCCTTGATATGGGGTCTCCAGGGCCGAGCAACCGCCGCACGTCGAATGCCACGTGGCTGGATTTGGCCCCCTCGAATTGGTGGCTGTGAGGCAAAAGCTGAAATGACGGTAATAAAAAACGGTATAAATTATCTCTGGATAATACCCGCCGTCAGATCTGAATAATACCTGTTGTTCAAAACCTGGTCGCGAAGCTTGCCGTTTTCTTTTCCTCGCTTTTTTGAGGTAGTACAGCCACTCCATGCACACATCGCTGGCCCCACAAAACTCGATACCGATCTTATGTGCCTGGGCAACTCCATCTGCAGGACTTGATACATCTCCAGATTCATCGAGACTGGTGACAATGGCGACGTTGCATTCATCGGAAGACCCATCGCGTTGGCTCCGCACCACTTGTCAACCGCGTCGGTGATGTTGAAAGAATCCAGGAACCTCTGCTGGTATGACGGGAGAGATCCGCCACTCCGCAACAAGTTTGCTCGGCAGTAATCCCACATACGGGCTTAACTCTCTGCCCTTGATATTGAGTTAACTGTAGATTCCAACATATTAAATATTTTGTCGTAGTTGTCCGCTTTGGTGCAAACCTCAGTACCGCGCAGGTCGCAGATCAAGTCGTTGAATTTAGTGTAGAATTTGCCCTCATGACTCGCGAGGTGGCCTTCGAACCACAATGCTCGAACGTTCGCAACCAATAGCAAGCCAAACAAGCCGCTTCCAGAGAGAGCCAGAAAGAGGGGAGCTTCATGATCGTCTCGCAGGGGGACTTTGCAGAGCAATAGGCAGCTGATCATTGTCATTATAACCATGACACCCAAAGCTGCAATAGCTACTACACCTTTTGCCGCCCATTCTTAGGTTATTCGCCGGCCAAATTTGGCGTGACCATTTTTGGGTACACAAAAAGTATCCAAACTCAGGAGTACCACTGTATTATCTCAAAAAAAGTTGCTCGACGGGCCATGAAGATGAACGCGGAAATCAAGGCGGCCCTTGAGCTCTGGCTGAAGGAGTGCTGATTGTATACGCTGGGCACGTTGCGGGCTATGGCGTACGAGGACTTCGGAGTGAGCCTCTCCGAGACGGCCATCTCTCGTCACCTGCGGCCCCACAGCCCTGCGTGGATCCCCGATTGAGAACTGTTTCAGTTCACTCAAAGCCAACATCAAGCAGAACCTCGCGCTGGCGAGGGACGAAATATCCGCGCCCATGACGCAGATCGGCGGCGGTCTCCACATCTCTAAGCCGGAAGCGCGCATGCGTCTTCTTGAGCGCGTTACTCACGTCTCGATGCCCCGCATCACTCAGTGCATGGTGCAGAAGATGGAGCTGCATGCCTCCAAGTCCGTGAACGCCGCGATCCGCATGGAAGACATGAAGTATGGAGCGTCAGTACATGTAGTGAAGGAACTGCCCTGTTTTGATTGGGGATTAGCCAACTTTGATTGAGATAATACAGTGGTACTCCTGAGTTTGGATACTTTTGTGTACCCAAAAATGGTAACGCCAAATTTGGCCGGCGATTAACCTGAGAATGGGCGGCAAAAGGTGTAGTCCCAGGAGAAGACGCAGGGCCGGATGGTCAAACGGCTTGGGGTCTCCGATATCGGGGGGTACACGGCAGAGAACACGCTCAGAAATAATAGCACGGCTGCAGTGAGTGCGAGAGCTGTGGACACTCGGTGAGGAGGCTTCGATTCCGGCATTGCGGTTGAAATTGTTGGAGTTGGTTGTTGTCAGCAAATTGATGAATGAACAAACACTGCTTCGACGCTTTCAAAATAAGGCAGGTGGGTATTTTACAGTAAGTAGCTATATTTGATTTGGTTTGATTGATGGACAACAAGATTGAAACGCAAACGATAATGTTCGGCAATCAACAACATGCATAATGAGAACAAGTTGCCATTAAATGTGAAGTTTTAAAATGCCTCCAAACGTGACGAAGACTGCTGATTAAACTAGGATACCAGCCTACCGGTCAGTGTAGCCCTGGAGCAGGTGAACACCACGTACACGACAAAGTAGATTTTCAAAGTTAGTTCGGGATAGGAGGTTTTTCGTAAATCGTGTTACTGTCAATCCCTGACTGCGAGTAATCAACGCGTGCGAGGGAGATGATTTCGCCGGCCGTCCGCGGTTCACAATGTGCCCTGTATGAAGTTGCTTCATTCGTTTCCTTACGTATGCTTCATTGAAACATGAGTAACTCGATCAGCTGTTCACTGGATTTTACATGTTAATCCCAAAACCCCTCCCAATTTTGGATTGATAGCATCATAACAAATTTATGAATAACAAAGTCGTGCTGAGCACGAGGAAGCTCTGAAATTTCTAGTGCGACGTTGGCATGGCTAGAAAGCTACGTCGTGAGAGGTAGCAACGATGAATAGTGTAGGAGGGCAACAGAACAGCAAAAGCTAGTTATACTCACTTACTACTGATTCGTGATACTGCACTAAGTCCTCGGGTTTGTCCGTCGTAGTCGCCTCTGCGGTAGTGGCGATAGTGTCATTCACTAGCGTGGTGCTGAGCATCGTGGCGCAATTGTTCTCCACGTAAGTATTGATGGGGTTCTTGCACAGCGCCTCGAGGTCTTCTTGGGTGTGGATCTTGGCCGTCGCTGTGGCCCGCGAGATGGATATTCTTGATGGACCCGTCCGCGTACTCCTCGCCCCTTTCCGGGTAAAGCCCGTAGCAGGAGTCGTAGTTGACCGAGCGGGCTGCGCCGTAGTGCGTGACCCCACCTTTGATCTGCGTGCGAGAGCCATGAGCATGAGCCTCGCAGCTGCTACGATGATAGGCCCCAACACCCAGCTTTGGGTTGCTCAGACCTTCGCAGAACGCGAGCATCTCCTCGACCACCATGTTCTCGCCAGGCCGACGCGCCCGATACGGCGCGTGGAGATGGCGCCACGGTGGACACGAAGGAGAAACGCTGCCCGGGCAGCCCACGCGCGGTTGACCTTGTTGACCTCGGCCTTGGGTTGGGCTTGCGCCTGGAATTTTCAGGGCTCGGACCCTACGGGATAAATAGGAAGTTGCATTTATCCCAAGAAAAACCCACGCCATAAATTACCGTATAAATTACTTACGGTTGCGGGTTGCGCGAAGATGGACGCGTCGCCGACAGGGTCAACATTCACGTGGATGATTCATAACGGCAAGATGTATACGATATAACGGGTTTTACAAACTGCTCTGCATCGATAACTGCGTATTGTGTAGTCTTATCTATAAAATGTCCGGACAATCAGACCCTTTAAATTACGAAGCCTGTGTTTTTTAACAAAAGACTCTATTTATGAAGTTTGAGAAATGGTTGACCCGTACAGCAGATGTAGCATTCAAGCAAAGAGGGCGTTTGCTATAGTCTAATATATTCAAACAGCGCGGAAAGGGGTATCACCGGTAGACTCTGAAATAAATTTCAGAGAACTTACCTAAAACGATGCAATCGTTTTATGACAAAACTGAATGCTCTTATAACTCAATCCACATCTAACACAATGATATTATAGTCACGAAGTTCACTCACAAGAGTAACCAGCAATATTACACAAACTAATATTAAATACTAGAGGCCCATCAAAAACGGAAGAGTGCGCATGTCCCGCTTACAACAAGGAAATGAAGCAGAAAGCGCAGCAGGATCTCGCGAAACTGTGAACGCAAAAAGCAGAATGTGATATAAGCGAGGTGAATGCTTTATCGGCTTGCCAAAGTATTTGCAAGTGAGTCAATGTTAAGCTACCCGATTACGTGCTCCACCATCACCACCGTCACCGCTACGCTGCGCAAGCTCCTCGTTGTCGACGATACTACTAAACACCGTGCTTAGACTTCCTACCTGTTTAAGAGCATTGGAGGCCGTGCAAGTCTCTGATACGGCGAAGATTACGCCACTCAAGCTGTAAGCCACTCACACAGCTTCAATCACTTAATTTCAGCCATAGCACTTGATCTCGAAGTTTGAAGACCATGCACGCCCGCGTACGTCGCTCATGCTCCTCAGCTTGCGTGGAAAGAGGATCACCTTCGAGCAATCCAAAGGATCGTAAGGCACAGCCGGCGAAACTGGGTGACTTCACCAACTGAGCAAAGACGTCGATCAAGAAAGCCGCATACAAATGCCAGCAGTACGCGCGCTTGCTAAAAACTACAACCCCTTTTAACTTTATTCCCCGAACTGGAAGCTTACTCTTTTTAGTATCACAAGTGGCAATATCTATAAAACGATAATCAAAACTTGATGACTGCGAGCAGCCGTGTAGAGATCCAAGTAAATAAATAAAAATCCAAAATCCAGGGCTTCCCGCTTTGTAGGTTACGTGACGCACATCCGCATGTACATGTAATGTTACAGCTGTAGCCACGTGATATCGTCCGGCACACAATCATTCCCCTAGCAAGTGTTGATTACTCGCACCAAGTTGGGGCATTTCGTAGTTCACTTTTCATTTGCTTTTCACAGTACACCACCACAACGACAAGAACAACAAGCACAGGATGGCCAAACAACTGGGAGCTGCGATCAGCGAGCGCTTCACCTGCAAGTCCTTCCTGTCCGACCCCGTGCCGGACGAGATGCTTCGTGAGATCCTCAAGCTTACGTAGGTGAAATATCCATTCTATTCCATCGGTCAACTCGACGCAGGGCTGTATGTGCAGGAAGTGTTGCTATTGTAGCGAGCCCCGACCGGATTCAACACGCAGCCCTATGTCGCGATCGTGTTGCGCTCCGCTGAGGACCGCGCTAGACTGGCGAGCGCTATGTTGGACAGCAACGTCCGCAAGGTCAACGAGGCCTCCGTCTCGGTCGTCTTCGCGGCCGACTGCGGTACGCTATTCCAATGAGTACTGGGTGGACTAGATGACTGCCGTTCTGATTCTCCTTACTGTGGTATCTATCTACAGAGCCCAGCAAGAACGTTGCGCGCTTGCAGCAGCTGAACCGCGACAACGGCGCCCACGAAGCTTTCGTGAGCAAGATCCCGCCCGTCGTCGAGTTCTTTTCGGGCGAGCACGACCCGAACATGCCCACGGAGGCGTGGGTCTACAAGCAGACGACGTTCGCCGCCACCACCTTCCTATACGCCGCCCAGGTGCACGGACTCGCCACGCGCACGATGGAAGGCCAAGGTGAAGCAGGCCCTGGATATCCCGGACCGCTACAGCATCCCCGTGGCGGTGGCGCTGGGCCACGCGAACCCGAGGCGAAGCCCGCCAAGGTCGGTGCGCCTCCCGCACTCGGAGATCTTTTTCGACGGCAAGTTCGGCCAGTCGCTCGAGAAGTTCTTCGACGAGAAGTAAGCAAGTAGGCGATCCTGCAAGCCTGCTTGCGGTTCATCAAGTCGATGCCTGCCAAAAGTATAGTAAACGGTCGACATATCTGCAGCAGATATGCCCGGCTTAAAAAAGATATATGTCGGCATATCGCCTGAAAGCTTCACCAAAAGTGTCTTATTGCTTCTGTCTACGTCCGGTTCCTACTGCCCTGAATCAGGTGGCTACACTAGTCACTTCGATGTGAACCTGTCAATTTGCCCTGGACACTGAAGCGGGAGCACTGCTGCCGCACTTGTTCTAGATTCCGTCACTTTCGGACTCGCGCGCGTCGAGCGCAAGCAAGCTCAGCGATGATGGCGAGCGCGGACACGGACGCCCTCCTCGTCGTGACGGACGCCTTCCTCAAGCAGGGGCGGGAGCTGGCCGAGGCGCGGCGCGAGGTGTACCGCTTGCTGCTGGAAGAGGCGTGGCGGACAGCCATGCGAAGTCGCCACTACCTGACGGCACAGTGCCTCGAGGCACCATGCAACTCGGCCTGGATGCTCCTCTACCGATTTGGGAGCGATGTCAACTTTATAAACGCGACGAGTCTCACCAGGTACATTTATTGATCGAGTTAAATGATACAAAGCTGTATGTAGCTAACGTGTGACTGTGTGCTGCAGACCTGCTTTCGAGCAGTTGCTGCGAAGGTTTTCGCGCTTCTACTTCATCCCCAAGGCCAAGTTGCGCGGCCGCCCGCCCAAGCTACGGTACCACCATCAAGTCCTGGGACTGGTGCTCTCGTTCTACGTCGGCTCGATGGAGCAGAGCTCGCTGTCCATGCTCTTTGGCTTGCCCCCGAGCACGCTCTCGCGCATCCTGTGTCGTGCAGAGGAGACGCTGTCCAAGGCGCTCCATGGGTATGCTCCGACGCGCATTTCGTGGCCATCACCAACGCGCCAAGCCGAGCTGGCAAAGCTCGTCGAGGCACGCGAGCCCCTGCTCAAGTACACTTTTGGTTTCATCGATGGCAAGAACTTCAAAGTACGTATGCAGTTGTATTCATTCGATCCTATCCGTCCTAACCTATATTGCTGGCTATATGCTGCAGGTGCAGCAACCTTCCAACGCAGATCTTCAAAATGCTATGTACAATGGATGGCTACATTCTGTTTTCGTTACAGGAACTATCTGCTTTGCGGCCGACGGCTGCATTATCTGGAGCCGACACAACTGTCTGGGTTCATGGAATGACTCGGACACGTCGCTCGGCTTTAGGTTGAAGCTACTCGATCCAGCCTTTTGCCCGGATTCGAGGATGAACGTCGTCTCCGACTCCGCTTTCCTCTGTTCGACAGCTATGGCGGGGCGCATTCTCACACCCCTCAAGGACGGAGACCTCGAGCGGATCCTGCCGTCGCTGAGGGCATCGGCGCGCACCCTTCACAATGCCATCACCTCGGTCCGCCAGGCGGCCGAGTGGGGCATGGGAAGCGTGCAGAAGGTCTACTCGAGACTCAACCTGCCACTGCCGTACGACCCCAAGTTCCGAGGACTTCGCCTGGACAACTTGTTTCGCATGGCCAACTACAGGGTCCGAACGGTGGGGATCTCGCAGATCCGAACCACGTTTGCTGGCGAGATGGAGGTGCCGACTCAGGTTGCCTAAGTAGTGAGCGATTCATAGCAAGTAGCGTGGCAACAATATATTTTGCGTAGCGTAGAATTTCTCGAAGTCCTTGCAAGTACACTAATGCTGAACAGATGATGTGAAGTTGTTGTAGGACTTGCTGATGATAACGTGGAAGATGGTGCTTTTCGCAAGTTAGAGATCGATGCAGTTTAGCAGCGAGCACGACTTGAATGAAGATGAAGATGCTGTATATGAAAAGTTGTTGATTCAACGGCTTTGAGATAAATGCAACGCTACTACAATATGAATGCGCCATGCTGCGAGGTGCAGGGCCAACAACTCCTTCCTTCGTCTCCATCTTTGCTTACGCGCTCTTCTTAATGGCATTGATCAGCATGATCAGCTCCTGCGTGCAAGTGCGCGCATCCTCACGGTCGCGACGAGCTCGGTCCTCTCTTTCGAGTTTTTCTTGACGACGGCGTTCCTGGGCTTCGGCCTTGTTGGCAAGGTAGCGAGCCTCTTGAGTAGCGACTTCGGCGCGGCGACGCTTGTCCTCTTCAGCGCGGCGTTCTTCGGCCTTGCGTTCGTTCTCCTCACGGAGAAGGAGAATCGTCTCGAGCAGGCTTCCGCCCGTGTTGTTCGCAGCGGCTTCAAGGCTGGCAAGCTTGGTCTTGAGGGCAGTGGACGTCCTCAAGGCGCGAATCCGCTTCGCTTTTGCAAAGCTTGCCTCCATGGTCTCCTTGTCTTCTTCGAGCGCAGGCTTGGCACCGACGGTGTCACGGAACGCTGTCAGGTCCTGCCCGCCCAAGCGGTTCGAAAAGTTCACGAGCTTCTGGTACTTCTCTGCTTGTTGACTGCGAAGCAGCAGCGAGCGGTGTCTGCTGCGGAGCCGCCGGTGGGCTCGCATTGGCGGCAACGGAGCTGACAGCCGTTCGACGTGGTTTCGGCGGCCCGCTTGCCGCACGGCGCGTGGTAGACGTTGCTGGAGGAGGCGCCGGTCGTGGAGTACGTGCACCGTCACCGGACCCACCACTCGTGAGTGGCGTCGCAAGCAGCTCTTGAAACTCGCCCAGACTAGGCGATTCGGATTCGGCGGAGTCGAGCCCGACAGACTCGTCGGTGCACGTCGACCCTTCAGTGCTGGGCCGGCCGGCCGTCTGCACGCCTTCCCCATCGGCGTCGTCGTCGACGTAGAAGCTCTCGTCGGGGTCCGCTTCGAAGCAGAAGTCGGGCTCGATGGGGCGATCTTCGTCGGCCTCGTCATCCATCTCGATGACGTTGGCCTTCTCGTCGATCGCCAGCTTCACCTCCTTGGCCTTCTTGACGTGCGGCGGCATGTTAGGCGTGCCAGTCGGCTTCCTGGTGCTGTATAGCACTTTGAATTTGCGGCGGAGGCTTTCAAAGTCTCGCTCAGGGGCACCGCGAGGTCTGTTGGCGTTGTACGACGCCGCTAGACGCTCCCACTCGTCTCGTCCGAGCGGAAGCTCGTTCTCGATCAGCAGCAAGAGGCAGTCGACGTCCGCCGTGGTGTAGTTGGGGTTTCCGGTTTGTCGGACCATCTACATGCACAACAAGTTGAACAACCCCATCAGCAAGCTTGACATCAACGAATCTCGCGTGGGGCAGCGTACCAGGGCTGGAAGCGCGCGGAATTGAAGCTTGGGGCGGGGCGGGTATGCGTCTTGGAGGAGGGTGCTCGTTGCTTGGCAAAAGCAAAAGTGAGAGAAACGAGTGCGCCGAGAAGCGGCGGCAACTCGACCAGCACCATGCCGCCACCGCCACCAATTTGAAAAGGATGCTGCTCTTAGCAGCTTCAACCTGGAGCGCGCGAAAGCTTCGCGCCCAAAGTGCCAAACGCAGCAGCAGGAAGCCGGCTCGAGACCTTTCGAACGAAGCCGTCTTGGCGCCAAATCACACTCACAGTGGTCGGAGCATTCCCGTAGTCTAGCAGCACTTCGTCCCCACAATACACTTAATTTTCAAACACCTTCCTGCATTCAGTCGTCCATTCACTCATACATGCATGTTGCTTCACTCGATGCTCCGCGCTCCTTAGCAACCTTGCTACGCTGCTGTCATCTCACGGGTCTTCTTCGTCTTGGATGTTGCGGTGGCGACAGCCGTCTCGCTCGCAACGGCAGACGAACCAGAGGTCGTCACCGTAGTCGATGGTCACCTCCTCGCCACGGTAGATGCGCCGCGTCGTCGCCGCGACCACCGTCGTTCGATGCCCGTTCGACACCTCCCTGAACTCTGCTGCAGACTCGCACGAGTGATTCAGGAAGCGCATCAGTCCTCCCATCCCTGCAGCATTAATCGCAGCGCAGATCGGGTACGTCGGCTTCTCGGGCCGCTGCTTCATCAGGAGACGGTAGCCGTTGTTGCGTGGGCGGTTGGCTCGAGATACGCTGACGTGCTCGATCTCGCCTAGGTACTGGCCGAGCACCTCACCGGCGCTGATGTCCTCGGCAGCGACAACACCGAGCTGCTGGGTGCGGAAGTTGCGGTCGAGGAAGATCTTGCTTGACTCCTCCAAGCCGTTGCCGCACTTGCCCCCGTACGGGCAGCAACGGGCATTGCAGTACACGTTGACGAGGGCGTTGCGGCAGCTGTCGGTCCGGCAGGGATTCCAGCAACTGCAAAAGCCGAATGGCTGGACCGCTGGGAAGACGGTGGCCAACGGGTTGTATTGCTCGCGCAAGTGAGCAATGGCGTACGGCCACCGTGCCGGCGCGAACACGTCCCCCGGCCGTGACGCCTGCAGTTGAGCACGGGGCGCAGCCGCCGGTACTGGCCGTGTCGCTCGTCGAATGTTGTCCGTGCGCTGGGTCTCCGAGCGCTGGCTGCGCGGCACATGACGGGGCTCCGTGCGCTGGCTGCGCGGCACATGGCGGGGCCCCAAGCGCCGGCGTGAGTACAGGGCGACAGCGGCTTGGCGTGCTTGACGCCCTTGGCGAGGGTGAAGCGTCGTGCTTGTCGTGGCGCGCGGCAGCGATCTTGGAGGCGTTTCCAGGAGCACGGGCGAGGACGTCGTCGGGCTTGTGCGCGCCCCCGAAGTTGGCAGCGGGGCCGTCGGCGTCTCTGGCGTTGCCGGCGGGTTCGCCACGCGCTTGGATCGGTGCTTGGTCCGCTCTGGAGTGAGCCAGGGCGGCGTCGCCGTGCCCGTCGCACTGGAGCCGCCGTCAGCACCCATGGCACGGGCGCTGCTGACGTTCGGCGGCGTGTTCTCGTCGCTGGAGGAGGAGGAGGAGTCGACGATGCATCGGAGCTTCCAGTGGATCGCGGAGTGCGTCAGATGCACCATCGTTCCTGCTGTAACACACGGTGTTAGCCAACAGCCAGTAGCACTTACTGCAATTGCAGCTCACGTACCGGAGATCGTTTGCTGTCTTCGCGCCTTCGGAGGCTATTTCAAAAGTGAGCGCAACTTCAAGTTGGCGGCAGGAAGATATAAGCGAGGCAGTATGTCGCCCGAATGACGGTAGAGTGATGGTCGACTTAAAGTATACAAATAACAAGTTAAATCTTTAAGATGACTACACGACATATTCATAGGGGTAGGGCTGTCTATCGACACGAAATCTGGGCCTCGCGGGATCTATGACCGGCATATACTCCGCATATCTGCTGCAGATATGTCGACGGTTTGATATACTTTTGGCCAGGCGTCCAGTGGCTGTAAACGAACATGGATCTTGTTGAAACAAGAAGCCTTGATCATAGACACGTCCGTGAATTGATAAGAAGCACGGTTGCGTGCTGGTAAATAGGTGGAGTCGTGGACAAGGCTGGTACAACCTGTCGATTTTTTCAAAACGAGTTAGGTTTTTGCTTCTATTATGGCTTGCAGGGATTTTTTTGCGCCCTAACGTGGTTTACCAATTCATGACCCGTCAGCAGCACTTCATGCGAAATCGTCGATGACGACACCAATATTAGAGCAGCGATGCTACAACGCTAGCATTTATACAAGCAGTCGGCACGCTTAATTTTGAGGGTCCTCGCATCAATTTATGAGCAAATATGAGCAAAGCAAACAAAGCGGAAATTTATTTTTTATGACGCACTGACCAGATGTTGGACCGACGCGTCCCATACAAAGTCTCATACCAAACTCAAACCGTCGCGCTCTCGATGATGAACAGCGGCTCCACTGCAGGCACTTCGGCGCAATTGTTTTTACGCGCTTGGAGTGCACCATTGCTTGTCGGACCAGACGACGCTGCATTGCAGCGATCCATGTCACTAGATCGGCTTCACACTCGGGAGGCAGTAGGGGGGCAGGCCCGGGCCGTTGGCGCTCAATAGATCGACCTTCGATGCGCGCGGCGACTTTGCGCTTTAGTGTTGACAACGACACTGGTGACGAGTCGGCCACGGCTGCGAGCTCCTCTCCTGCGAGGACGCGGTCAATAGCTTCTTCTAGCTGCTTGTCTGTGAAGGCCGCCTCGGATATCTGACGGGATCAGCGTAAGGAAAAGTGAGGGCCAAGATCTGGTTTAAAAATATTGAGCCAATCAGAGCCATATTAGTCCAAATAAGAAGATTGGATTGGATAATAGTCGCTTTAGTCCATGAACTGGTCAGAGGTCATGAATTGGTAAACCACGTTAAACTCATTTACAACTTTATATCGGACCTTGATTTATATAAATCGGAGCTGTAGGAGTCTGAAATAGGGATCGAACATTCAAAGCTAGTGAAATACATAGTGAAGTCAATTCATGATGATGATGATCACAGTTGTCCATTTAACTTTAGTTAATAGCGTCCTGAAAAATCCTAAGCCACTTCACAATCGGAGACTTGTTGCGTGGTTTCTCTGCTTTTGGCATGTGTACTTCTCCTTTAATAGTGAAGTCAATTAATACATGCTCTGCAATGTCAACGTTTCGTTGGAACCTCCTGTCGTCTAGTGAAAGAACTTATCGGTAAGAGCAGGTGAACACCACGTACACGGCAAAGCAGTTTTTCGAAGTTAGTTCAGCGAACCCAAAATGATAGATTGGACTATGAAAAGACAACACTTTGGCTAGACTACCACTTCGTGCTCTCCACCAGCGTAAGGAAACGTAACTTCTTTCACATCCCTCGAGGAAGTATATCGACGCCATGCAAACAAGTGCCGAGCCCACAAAAATCGACGCCGACCTCAAGTGTTTCGGCAACTCCATCTGCAACGCTCGATATATCCCTGGGTTTGTCGAAATGGGCGAGCATGGAGACGTTGTATTCGATGGGAGTCCCATCGCCTTCGTTCCGCACCACTTGTCAATCGCGTCGGTCATGTTGCACGAATCCAGGTTGTAAGCGATTCGCCACTCCGCAGCAGATTTTTCCGGCAGTAATCCCACGCACGCGCCGATGTCTCTGCTCTCGATGTTCTGTTGCCCGTAGGCCCCAACATCCCCAGCACTTTATCATAGCTGCCCGCCTTTGAGCAGACGTCAGTGCCGCGCGAGTCGCAAATCCAGTCGTTGAATTTCGCGTGGAATTCGTCCTCATTACTCGCGACGTGAAGTTCGTACCGTAGCGCTTGAAAATTCGCAAGCAGTAGCAGCAGTAGCAGGCTGCTTCCGGTCAGGATCAGGTAGAGTCGAACATCAACGTTGCGGTCTAGAAGAGATCGGCGGCTGACCTGCATCAATAGAGCGCAGCGTTGACGTACGATGTACTTGTTGGGCCGATGAGAGCAAAGTGCTGCAGCTTTTTCGGCCATCAATAATACTGACGAAATCCACGATATCGCATTGTCTTACCGTTTATGCCTAAGTTACTTTTTTATTTATTTTTCTCTGTTAACGCCTGCCGCGCTTGGTGTGAGCACTGCATCTGGTTCATGCCTAAGTTACTTACTGAAGTACATAGCAAAGGGTTTTGTGCCGTATAAATTTCTGTAAAATACCTTACACTACTGCACTCGTTGTTCAGCTTGTAGTACCCACAATACTTCGTGAAGATGGTTCATCGAGACTGACGAGAATGGCACAAACATATCGATTTCTCTTCCATTTCTCGGGTTCTTTTTTTAAGTATTCTTTGATTATGATTGCATTATCACCCCGTGGTCCGTACACCTTATTATCGTAAGCGCTTCTTGAATCCGCCCCCTCTAGTGCAATGCCAGAAATTGGACCCCACTACTTCGTGTCCGTAACTCTTGCGGTCCCTGCAACGGTGCTGTCGATCCTGAGCACGATCACGGCCCTGAAATCCCCGATGGCCGATGCCATCCCCACGTCGCTTAGGAATCCCTCTCTCGAGTCACTGCTATTAGCAATTGGTCTTATCAACGTGCTCTTCATATTAGTGATGCTCTTTGTTAGCCTTAACTTTGTCGGCAACAGACGTCTGCAGGAATCTTACTGTGGGTGCGTCTTCATGATTGTCTTTGGAGTCTGCTTCCTGGTTTTGCTTTTGGTCGTGAACGTCCAAGCATTGCGGTACGAAGGTCAAATCGCGAGTTATCCGGATGCATTTCGCGATAAATTTAACGAGATCATCTGCGACCTGCGGATCTCTGAGGTTTGTGCAGCTGGGGACAACTTCGACAAAGTGCTCGTGGCAGTGTCATCTACAGCCAACCCAACATCGAGAGTACAGGCCTCGACACACGCGCGAGACTACTGCAGCCTCGAGTTTCTGCATGGCCTTGACTCGTTAGAGTTCGATTGGGACGTTTTGGACTCTTTCATTGTAACTCCAGTAGTTGACAAGTGGTGCGGAAGTTACGCGTTGGGTCTCCCAACAAACACACCCTCGCCGTCCTCGCCAGTCTCAATGAATCCGGCCAAGTACCAGTGGATGCTGACGAAGCCGCTCAAGCGCGTGAGGTCGGTGTCGATCTTGGTCGATGCTGGTTTGTGTGGTGTTGTTAGGCTGCTTTGAGCTGTGCGCGGAGAGGACAATGAAGAAAGCTGGCGGTGAATTTAGACCGGTGAAGGACGAGCTGACGCAAGAACTGGCAGCCTAGCTAGTCACCACACTTTGTGGGACTTGAGAGGACGATTTAAAACTACTGACTCGAGTTTTATAACTCTCATTTCCATCGATACAGCTGAACGCAAAACCTTGGCATCCAACGTCCTTCAACTAAAGTTCCTAGGCGGTAATAAAATACATTTCTAGGATCCTTCCACTGTAGTCCTCATCTTAACTTGATTTTTTCGTTTTTGATTGATTGACAAGTCCAAGTCAAAATCAACACTCAGCTGGATTGCCATTCTACAAAATCTGCCACGCCTGGCCATGAGGCTCCGCAACCGAGTTTCCGTGGTGATCGCGATCGCTGCAACCGTGCTGTTGTGCGCGGGCATGATCTGTTCGTGGCTTCTTGCGATAACGGCGATCCGCTCGCCTTTCGACGTTCCCATCCTGCCGCCTTTGTTGCTAGCCACCACTGTTCTTATCGCTCTGCGTGTGGTGGTCGAGATAACCTTAATGCTGTTCTTCGAAAGGCCCTTGCGTGACAGACCCGGCCTTTGCGTGGGCGTGGTCATGTCTGGAAGCTGCCTGCTTGTCTTGCTATTGATCGTGAACGCTGGTATGTTCCGATACGAGGGTCGCGCTATCAGTCACCCGAATGAGTTTCACGACAAGTTCAACGACTACTATTGCGACCTGCGTGGCACCGAGGTTTGCACAGAGAAAGACAACTTCGACAAGCTGCTGGAGATGTTGGTGTCTACGAATGACACGACTTCAAGGCTGGAGACCGCATCGCACGCGTTAGACTTCTGCCAACTCAAACTTGTGAGCCACCAAGGAACTGTTCGGCCCTACGAGCAGCGTTTCCTGGACTCGTGCAACTCCACGGAAGCGGTTGACAGGTGGCGCGGAAGCAAGGTGATGGGGCTGTCCACGAATGCAACTTTACCGTTCTCGCCGGTGATCGTGAACCCGGACGTGTATGATTCGTTGCTGACAACGTGGCCCACGCACGTGAGGATCACGTCGATTACATTGATGCTGGTGTTGGTTTGTATCGAGTTGGTTTACTACCGCGAGCGAAGTCACAAGGCCGTAATCAATCAAGTGTATGTTGGCAAAAAAAACCCTGGAATGACCAACATATCAGTTTTGATCAATTTTGCGGCACTGTTGGAGCTACATGTAGTACACAGATAAGGGATTTCGAAGATATTGACTGTCAGTGTTAAAACCAATTATTACTTAATCAAGCACTGCAGTAGTGATATCGTTAATCGATAGATGTTCGGTTACGTAAAGCGCTTACCTTTAGCAGTGGGAATCTGTAGCTAGACTACCATTTCTTGCGCAACGTTCCGTCACTTGAAGTCCTCACTAGCTTGCCGGTGTTTTGATTGATGACACGTGACACATCTCGGCTAAAAGAGTCAATCGTTAGTTGGTGGACTAACACAGTGAACAATACAGCATTCTCAATTCTCTCAGCAAACAAGAACAAGTGCGATGCCGGAAGTGAATTCCCGCAAGACCAAAGTCTCCGCGTCTCTTGAGGTCTCCGCTGCTCTGCTGTTGATTCTGGGCATGATCCGTACCGCCGTGTCGCTCCCGACGAGGGGCGGAACACCTTTCGACAGTAGCAGCCTCGACCTACTGACATGCGTGGCTTCTCGCTCTTGTCCTTACGCTCGTGATGGGTTTTACCAGCGCCCATTTGCTTTGCAATGGACCCTTGCGAGACGGCCCTGGCCTCCGCGCCGTCATAGTCGTATTTGGAAGCTTCATGCTTGCCTTGCTGTTCGCCGCGAACGCCGTTGCTTTGGTTTACGAAGCCCAGGTCGCCAGTCCCGAGTTTCGCGCAAAGTTTAACGACTTTTTTTGCGACCTGCGCGGTGATGAGATTTGTGCTGATGAAGGCCAAGTTCGTAAAGTGCTGGGGATGGCGGCTTCTAGTGACAACACGACAGTAAAGTTGGAGTCCGTGACGCGCGTCTGGGACTACTGCAGAGCTAAGGTGTTGAATATGGCGTATCTTCAAATGCAACCTGCTACTCAATTACAAAGGGGACACTTTTCAGCTGACACACACAGTCAGAGTCTTCTCAAGGATTCTTTCAACATCACAGACGCAGTTCACAAGTGGTGCGGGAGCAAGGCAATCGGTCGCTCAGTTAATACAACGTCACCGTCTTCTCCAGTTTCAATAAATCCGGAAGGCTATCGCTCGTTGCAGACCCAGTGGCCTGATTGCGTGAAGACTGAGTCGATTTTTATGGGCGTGGCGCTGGTTTGTATGGCGTTTGTGTGCATTATCGATCGAAGTGGCGAGGGGAAAACTGAGCAAGCTGGTGATGATTGCAAGCCGATGAAGACCAAAATGACGCAAGAAATGACAACGGAATCTGGACGTGTAGAGCTCATACACTTCTATCGTTTCTTGGAACAACAACACATAATATTTGTGCTGAGATTTGGCTCGTACGGATTGCATTATCTAAGCGTGAGGATTTTTTGACCAGCATCTTCCTATGCAATAGTTAGCAACGAGTTCAATTGTGCGGCCATATCTAAGGAACTCCCCTGTGCGTACCTAAAATCGTCGAATTCCTAATAATCTGTCCTAAACATAATCTCCTAAAATCTTGCCTAAAATCCGGAGAGACACATTAATAAACATCTTATATTCAGTATAGCTTGGCAGGACACTCGCGCGTTGGCTCTCGTCTGCGGACTTAGCGACGGGGCCGCGGGGGGCCCGCCCCACCCCCTTGCCCCTTACGCTAAGTCCTCGTCTCGGCCAGGCGCGGTGTCTGAAAAAAAAATTTCGGGTTGCAGCGCTCGCCTTCGCTCGCTCGCGCAGACACGCCTCCGCCTAATCGGCGGGTGTTGGCGATCGGTGAATGCACCAAGCGAGTCTCGCGCTCGCATCCGCTCGCCCTCGCCCTAATGTTACTCACGGTACTTAATTTTCAAGCATCTTGACCTAAAATCAGTCCTAATATTTGGGTGGTGCACATGAAACATATGTCGGATTTTAGGGAAAATCCTTAGGAATACGACGATTTTAGGTAGGAGCAGGGTTCTCCCATATCTAAGTACTAACTCAGCGGCTTGCTCATCGTATGCGCGATGCCAAGCTGAGTAAAATCATTTTTACCAGGTAGTGACGATGATATGGTAGTCGTGAGTATCGGTAGGCAGTCTGTTTCGAGGTGGTGACTTTCATGAACCTAACTGACTTTGTAACTATCCCAGCCTTCGCGAGTCCTAATTTTTACCGAATTTTTGATTGACGACACCAAAACATAAAAATCCATCATTACCTGCCCCGCAGTCTACACGCATCACTGCGAAAGCGTCTTGGTTGAAACCGCATTCTCAATTCTTTCACCAACGAAGAACAAGTGCGATGGATTCCAGCAAGTCCAGAGTCTCCGCGTCTCTTGCGCTCAGCGCTACATGTACTCTGCTGTTGATTCTGGGCATGATCTGCACCGTGCTTCGCCCTACACCGAGGATCGAAACACCTTTCGATAATGCCATCCTGCAGCTACTGATATGTGCAGTGTGGCTTCTTGCTCTAGTCGTTGCGCTCGTGATGGGTATCGCAAGCGCTCAGTTGCTTCGCAATGCACCCTTGCGAAACAATCCCGGTCTCCAAGCCGCCATAGTCGTATCTGGTGGTTTCATGCTTGCCTCGTTGTCCGTCGTAAACGTCGTTGCATTGGTTTACGAAGCTCATATCGCCAATCCCGAGTTTCGCGCGAAGTTTAACGACTTCTTTTGCGACCTACGCGGCACTGAGATTTGTGCAGATGGAGACAACTTTGGTAAACGGCTGGGGATGGTGGCTTCTAGTGACAACATTACATTAAAGGTGGAGACCGCGACGCGCGTCTGGGACTACTGCAGAGCTAAGCTGTTGGATATGGGCCATCTTGGGTACTACTTGTACTCGATTACGAAGGGGATATTTTCCAGCTGCCACGTACGGTCAGAGTCTTGTCGATTCATTCAGCACCACAGACGCGGTTGACAAGTGGTGTGGGAGCCAGGCAGTCGGCCTCTCGGTTAATGCAACGTCACCGTTTTCTCCGATTTTAACGAATCCGGGCGCGTATCACACATTGCAAACCAAGTGGCTCGACTGCGTGAAGATCGAGTCGATTTTTACGGGGCTGGCGCTAGTTTGTATGGCGTTAGTGTGCATTCTCGATCGAAGCGGTACGAAGAAAAATGGACAAGCCGATGAAGAGCAAAACGGCGCAAGAAATAGCAACGGGATCTTGAAGTGTACTGTAGTACAGCTCCTTACAATTCTATTGCTTCTTGGAACAACAAAATTAATAAAATAGTGGTGAGATTGTCTTAGCTTTGTTTGTTTTTTTGTTTAAGAACAGGTTGTATCTAAATAGCTAACCCATCGATTACGTTAACGGGAAGGTTCAACAAGAAGCTGATAGTTTACAGTCATTAAACTTCAGTCAATGGATTGTAAAATGTACCAGAAGAGCCCGAATCATTCTTCAATTTAGCGATGCTCAGCCCAGCCGAGTGTCCGCAGCTCTTGCGCTCGCTGCAGTCGTGCTGTTGTTCCTGAGTTTCTCCGCTATCATATATCAGCAAATCAGAGGTCCGAAATAATAATTGCGATCCAATAAATAATTGGGTTTTGCAATACTATTTTTATTATTGGAGATCAACGATTCCAATACAATACAGTATTGTCCCAATTATTGACAATTAATATGAAAAAGGTTGCACGGCGCCAAACATAGCAAAGTACGTCATAAAATGATAGTTAGGTCTACAAACGCAACGATTAAGGTGTAGTAAAAGCCATAATGGGCAATCAACATCTTTAGAAACCAATATGTACGCAAGGCAGAACATCAATGACGTCCAGATGTAGTGAATCCCGCCGAACACATCACATCAGGGAACGGCAGCGGATGGCAATCCACTAGGGACTTGAGCTTAATGTTTTGATATAGTGATTACGCCTTTGAGGCTTTTGTAGGAGAAAAAGCGAAGTGGGTCCGCGAAGCAGTTGATCATACAAAATGCTTAGTCTGTAACCTCATACCAGATGCACACACTCTGTGTGAAGCTTGACTGGTCATGATGCGGTGAACCCATTACCTGTGGCTCGCGTGGGTCACTGCCGCGACATGCTATCGAGCCCTTAACTGCGGTGATACCAAAGTACGAAACAGAAGAGGTTTGTTTTTAGTTAAAACTTGAAATCCTGGGTGTGCTTTCATCGCTTCCAAAGGGAATGCTGTTTCAACTGATATTCTCTCAAGCCCCCACGATCAAATGCTGGCTAGTCTTTCTTCACCCGATTCAGTCCATAAGCCTTCTTCACTTTCCCCTTCCCACTGCTCTCGTGGAAGTACAACAACGCCATGCAAACAAGTGCCGACCCGACAGCCATCGTCATTAATCTCAATTCTTCAAGTGGCGCCGTCCGCAACGAATGATAACTAGTCGGATTCGTCGAGAATGGCGTGAATGGCGAAGTTGTATCTGTCGGGAGGCCCAGCACTTTGCTTCCACACCACTTGTCAACCGCGTCAGTTATGGTCAAAGAATCCAAAAATTCCTGCTGGTATTGCAAAAGAAATCCACGGTCACGCAACAGCTTGATCATGCAGTATTCTCGCGCACGTGTCGACGTATCTAACGTTGGCATTGTGTTGGCTGCGGCAGACGCCAAAATCCTCCGCATTTGATCGAAGTTACCCCCATTTGAGCAGGCCTCAGTGCCGCGCAGGTCGCAAATCAAGTCGTTGAACTTCACATGCAGTTCTTGTGCATGGCACGCGGTGTAGCCGTCGTACCGCAATGCCTGTACGTTCGCGTTCAATAGTAAAAGCAATAAGAAGCTTCCGGAGAGAACCATGCTGACGCGTGGGACAGGTTCGTCTCGCAGGCGTCCTTTGTCTAGCAGCATCACGCTGATCACGACCATCACAAACATGACGAAAAGAGCGGCAAGAGCGATTGATGCCAGCGGTAGTTTGGGGGCTCCAGCAGTGAATAGCGCGGGATACGCTCCGAAATGCCCGACCAAGAGCGTGCTCACGAGCAACAGCAGGGTTGCAGCGATCGCAAGAGCTACGGACGCGGGGCTAATCGATGGAGCTTCTGGCATCGTACTGGGGGCGCTCGACTTGGTTGTACGACAGCTAATTCGGAAATGGATAAAGGGAGGGAGGCAGTGAAGATGTGATGGCAATTTGATGTCAGCTACGATGTTTTTGATTGATGAGTCCGAATTTTTGCACTGTTATGTGGAAGCGATTCGTCTTGCTGTTGGCATAGTTTGCGTGAAGTGCTACTGCAGAACAAGGCTGGTGAAGTGTATTTCATAGTCCATTCGACACGCACAGGCATTAATTGCTTCATGCATGCAGAGCGCCTCGGAAGACGTCGACGAGGGATTCGCTAACAAGGCGATGCGCCTCCGTTGGAATGCAATATTCCGAATACGACTTCAGCGACTTGGTGTGGATCCATACTTTTGTCTCAGTATTCTTCGATCTCCTCCCCGTCGAAAAGCGTCCATCGTGCATATGCTGAGCGACTAACTTGTTGAAAATAATATGGCTAAGTACGTAATTATGTGAAACTTGCCCCAACTTGTAGTCTTCTGTTTTGTATATAAAATTCCTTAATTACCGAAATAGCCGAATAAATAGCTCAACTAGTCACAACAAAGCACGCCATTGAATCAGCCAACACCTCCATCTATCCTGCAGCGGCGACCATGTCCAAGTGGAGCAAGAAGAACCGCGCGCCCGCGGGCTACGAGTACATCCAGCCGGTGATGGACGCGCTGGAGAGCGAGCTGCGCGAGCGCATGAACGAGCCGCACGAGGGCAAGCGGCAGTGCGAGGCGCTGTGGCCCGTGCACCAGATCAACTGGCAGCGCAGCCGCTACGTGTACGACCTGTTCTACAAGTACAAGCGCATCTCGCGCGACGTGTACGACTACTGCGTGCGACGCAAGCTCGTGGACGCCAACCTCATCGCCAAGTGGAAGAAGCCCGGCTACGAGCGGCTCTGCAGCACGTTCGCCATCAACACCAAGAACTACAACTACGGCACCGTCAGCATCTGCCGCGTGCCGAGGCAGCAGCTCTCGGAGGGGCAGGTGGTGCAGGAGAAGCACAGCGGCTGCAGGGGCTGCGCGTCCGGACCTGGCGGCTACCACAACATCTTCGGCAACAAGTACGGGCAGTACCTGGCCCGCATCCAGATCGCGCGCGAGGAGGCGGCCAAGAAGAAGAAGCAGAAGGAGCAGGGGGCGGAGGAGGCTCAAGCGCAGGTGTGGGCCACGGAACAGGAGGAAGAGGAGTATGAGAGCGACGCGGAGGACAAGAAGAGGAAGAGGGACGAACCGGCTAAGGAGAGCGACAGCAGCTCCTCGAGTGATGAGGACGAAGAGACGAAGGAGTCGGAGGCGCCCTCCAAGAAGAAGCAGAAGGCGGACGACTAAAGATAATATCTCACGCCGTCCTTAGCCTCCAGGCCGCTGGACGTCAATAGATTTCGATATCTTGCTTGTTGTTTCAATGCATTGACTGCATTGACAGGTACTTGTAGTATTCTATCCGACGCTATGCTTTACCTACCACACATAGGGCAGCAGCTTCCACTTGGGCAGCTCGTCGAGGCGGTCGCGGAATTTGTCCTCGACCCATTGGGAGCTGATGTGCGCCAGGAGCACCTGGTTCCCGACGACCCAGGCAGACACGAGGTACAGCATCGTCGTCGAACCACCAGTCACCAAGATAAATGCTGCGTATAGCATGATCTCGGTCGTGTAGAGCGGGCTGCGAACGATATCGAACCAGTCGCCGCGAGGGATCACGTGCCTCATGTTGTTGACGCGCTTCTGCGTCGATAGCAGGTAGTTGCAGCGCGACTGGTGGTCGGACGCAACAATGAACAAGACGACACCAAGTCCCGCCATCGATAGACGCAACATCGTGAACTCGTGCGCCACAATCGAGTCCGGGTCGAAGAGAACGGAGAGGACCGTCGCCACGTAGTGGTAGGTGCCTACGAACAAAACTATACAGTAACAACAGCAAAGCTCTATCAATGCAACATCCTCCAAAGACTAGAGCTTCTTAAGGGTAACGTACTGCAGGCGTGCATCCTCGCATCCCCGAACTCCGTGATTAGGAGGGACTCCAGGAACCGCCTCGTCGTGTGGATTGAGAACAGCGTCAGGAACGCGATGGTGTGTGGCTGGATGAAGATCAGCTCTTGGTCGGCCGACGGGTGTGCGAGATGCAGGGCGTATTGAACCGCATCGGTGTCTTGCCAGAAGACCGTGATAACCAGCATCAGGATACTGTGCAGCGCTCCAACGAGGTAGAACCAAGTCCAGTAGCTCTTGGGCACCTCCACGCGCAGCAACGAGAGTCCGGGGAGCTGCGCGACAGCCACGGGGGTGCGCATCTTTCCCTGCAGAACGAAGCCCCGGCAGAAGCTACTCCGGAACGAGAGCACCGCACCGGCCGCGGCTATCAACCACGAGAGCTGCCACAGCTCCAACATCCCCACGGTCTGCATGGTCTCACTGTTTGTGTGTTGGTGTTGAGAACCGGACTTAACCGATCATGCCTATGTGCATGACGTGGACAAGGCTGCAGTGAAGTGGCAGTGCAAGTGCGTTGCATGCATCCTTTGGCAGGCAACGCACCAACTTCATGTTGAAGTGGTCTATCAATACGCCGATAAGAACATGCGCCGGAAATGGAGCCGCTAATAATGCGATCCGTGCGGGTATTTCTGCTGAAGTGGAGAGGGGAGGAGGAGGAAGAGGAGGAAGGCATTCGAGATCCCAAGAGGTTCTTCACACGTGAACCGCACCACTGCTGTAGCGTTGTTACTAGGACATAAGCAAGCATGGTATCGCGAGGTTCGACCATCCACCACACGCGCCGCACCAACAATCCGTTCATGACCACGAGCTCGGGCATCGTCGGCATCGACTTGAACGAGAAGGTGGCGTTTGACGCTCCTCAGCTCCGCAGCAGCTCGAGCAACAACCAGATCGGGACTGGCCAGCCACGATCAACGAACTCGTTGACCGAGTTCATGTACCAGACGACGTCGGGGGCTCTCGGTGAAGGGGTCCACGCTCAGGAACGCTCGCGGTTGAGTCAGCGGATGGACAAACTCACACTCCACAAAGGTGCGTGCTTCATTCAGTCCTTGCGATCCTGCTGAGGACATACTAACAAGGCTCGTCCGGTGCTGCCAACGCAGAGGTGGAATCGTCCGGCGTCGTGACCATCCGAAGAGTCGACGTCGCAGCGCCAGAAGAGTACGCCATCCGCCCCGAAGAAGTCATGCCAAAGCCCATCGACATCAAGGGGATCACTGAGGCCCGAGGCGAGCACCCCATGTACGCCACCAGCTACCGAGACATTGGCGCTGACAAGGCGCAGCTGAAGGTCGAGATGGAGCATCTCGGACGGCCAAATACGTTCACCAACTCCTTCAACGGCTTCCGGTACCGCGACTTCGGCCTCAACACCGCCGTGACCAAGTCCCGCATCTGCGACCAACTCGACTACTCCTGAGCTTCTCTACCTGTGTCAGCATCATACAACCTCCAAAACTCACCCACACGCACAATAAAACACCCGCAGAATTACCCGTTCTTCCCTTGCATTTGTTTCTTGTCGTAATTGCTTGAAGATCACGTCCTTCCTGCTCAGCACGGTACAGCAAACACTCTCTCCTGCTCTCGACCCTGTCGGCTGCTTAGTCGTAGCCCTTCTTGGAGAAGTCGACGAAGACCGTGTCCTTGGCGGGCAGGGGCGTCATGTCGATGTTGATGCCCTCGAGCGGCGACAGCTCCACGTCGTCGGGGATGTTGCCGTCCGGGAAGCACACGTCCAGCGGGATGGGCGCGTTGCGCATGAACAGACTGCCGCCGGGCATGTAGTTAAAAATATAGCGGTCCGGGTGCGTGTAGTGGTCCACCTTCTCCTGCGCCTCGCGCACCAGGCGCTTCGCCAGGCTGGCAGCAAACAAATAATATAAAACAATTAAAATAATCAGTAAATTGACGTCAGGACCACCGGAATCGGGGCAAAAAGCTGGCATTTAGAGGCCGCAAGGACGTACCCGGACTCGGGGTCGAGCTCGCGGTTGGCGTCGAACTGCGCGCGGATCTTGGTGGCCTCCTCGTTCCAGAGGCGGCGGTCGATGACCCACGAGTCGAGCGTCTTGAGCGACTGCTTGTACAGGCGCTGCACCTTCTGCTTGTGCGAGAGCTGCGGGGCGGCGCCCACGAAGCGGCCCACCACCTCGCGGAACGTCTTGTTCATGTTGGCGTTCACCACGGGCTTCACCATCGTCGCCTTGCTCTGCCTTAGCTGCGTGCTGCCGTAGCGGGTTGGGTCGGTCGATTCAGGCGTCAAGCGGAGCCGCACGCTCGCTGGCCGCCTCGCGCAACGTTAGCGCTTGAGTTGCTGAACGAGCGGTCCGGTTCCGGTCCGGACCGGTTAAAAGGGCAGGAACGCAATTGTGTAAATATACATGGAATAGTGTAGTTTTTGCATTACAATACTGCACAATTATAAATCTACAAATTTGTCGACAATTGCGTAAGTAAGCACGCTGGAAACACAAGTAAGCTTACAATTATCGTCTTCGGCGAGACACATGGCCTAAAGTGCGTGTATCATAGGATGGATCGAATAGCTTTCGGACTGGCGCTAAGCGTCCTGATATCGGTCTACTTCATCGAACGAAGTGGTGAGAAGAGGAGACGTGTTCTTGTACTCGTTTCCTTATGGCATGTTCTCAAGTCTCCAGCAACAGCCCCTCCCTACTGCATGAACTACATGTACACTTGATCACCTGCGCATTACTAAAGTAAATTCCAACAACTTTTCGTGCAGTAGGTTAAGGTTACCACCCCAGATTCCAGTTTCATTCTGCTGTGGGGCACTCAAACTACATGTCGTGTGGCATGACAACAAACAGAATTCAGGTTGCTTTACACGGTAGGCCAGCCGCTCGAGAAGTCAAGCTGGTTCCAGCCAAAACGCTTGTCACCGTCCGCGTACCCGATGCGGGTGTCCACTGTAACAAAAGATTCGACGAGAAATGAGTATTTCAGACTGAAAGCAACAAAGGCCACTAAAATCGACAACGTACCGTAGTGGTAGTACAGCACGGGTCCATGCTTCGGATCGTTGTAGACGCCCTGGCCTCCCGGCCCGTACACCCAGCCGTGCGACTCCAGCACAACCGAGCCGCCGTTGTTCCTGCAGTCGACGCCGTTCTTGTCCACGAAGCCCGACGTCGGGCTCTTGGAGCGGCACACGAGGATGCGGTATTCCTTGCCCTTGGCGGGGCGAGTTTTGTCATATCCACAGCACGAGCCCTTGGAGAAGAAGAGGTAGTAGTAGCCGTTGTACGCGAACTCGAACGCCGCCTCGACCACTTCGTAGTTGGAAGTGAAGGCGATCTGGTTTGCTGAGGCGCCCGTACTCTTCGCGGGGACCGTGGACATCTTCACCTGGTGAAGACCCTGCCAGTAGCTGCCGAAGTTAAGGTAGTACTGGCTGCCGACCTGGATCAGGTTCGGGTCGATGGCGTTGTACTTCTTGGACGCATTGCTCGTGACGCCCACGCTGCCCGCATCGACCCACGAGCCAGGCTCCATGGTCTTCGACCGCGTCAGACCGATGGCGGAGCTCTGAGTGCCAAAGGAGCTGACCGAGTAGTACAGGTAATACGTGTCGCCGACTTTGTTCACCTCAGGGGCCTAATTGGGAATAACAACATGAAAGCGTTAGCACCACTAACATCTATACGATATGCTTTTGCACGGCACCTACCCAGAGATCGTCCTTGCCCTTCAGGTTAATCTTCGAGCCGTTCGGCACAGCAGCACCGCGGTACGTCCATGGACCTGTCAGCGCTGGCGCAGAGTGGATGGCGATCTTGCTGCCCGTCGAGAAGCGGAAGTACGTGCCGTCGTCGCGGCGGATAATGGACGGGTCGTGGGCGTTGGTGCAAACTCCCGTGCACGTCTGCGGGTTGGCGTATCCGTTGACGACGCCAGCGGCGAGGAGGGGAAGACCGACGAGAATCGAAAGGAGCTTCATGGTAGTTAAAATGGGGGGATCGATGCTGGAACCGCGTGTGGCTGTGAGCTCAGAAGTGAAAATGCCATCATCTCCAATGCTCGAGAGAGTTCAGCTCGGACAGCCCAGCAAGGGCGTTATCCCAGCTGATGCTGCAGCGGAGCGACACATTTGCTCTGAATTTTATGTCGTAGTTTGGCTGTCAGACTGCAGTGATCCACGCAGTCCGCCTTGAGAGCGTGCAGGCTTGGGGCAGGACTGGCATGTCAAATAGATCCTGCAACGAGAATCTTCGGTCCTGCTGGGGATTTGCTTCAACGACGCGGACGCATCAAAAGCGATCCAATCGCTTCTCGTAAACATGCAGCTGTTTCTCAGGATGAATTACTGCTCTGAAGTCTTTGTCAAAGACTACCCTTCGAAGTGATCGCGGCGTACTTAACGTTCCTACAGCTAAGAGCGGTATGGCTTCAAGCCACCGCAGTTGATGGAACGAGCGGAAAACTTGGGGCTAAAGCCTACGATGTTCACTACGATACAACACTGCAGGCTATCCTAGGATAGGATAGGGACCAGGCTGTGAAGATAAGTAAATCCGGTCACAATTAGACTAAAACACTTCTCTCTAAGCTGTCAAATCCGCAGAATACGGTACCAGTACATGTACGTAGTTCTGGCTTCGCTCTCAACAAGAGCCAGGTTCCATCGCTACCTCGGCAAGTGCGTTCATCACACTCGCCTCCGTTTGATGAACGCAACTGTCAACATAAGTACACGCAACGCTTGGCCTAGGTCCATGTTGTGTTTGTTATCGTTGTGCACTATCAAGTGTTTCAGCAAAATACGCAGTGTGTTCATCGCACCGCACAAACGAAATGTATTTTGCACAGGCACGTAGCCAGAGCCATTCGTACAGTAGGGTTCACTACCAGATCAATTGCCCTTCGCTAGCATCCTACAACTCGTAGATCCGATCTCGTTTTCGTGCCCTGCGACGCTCCCTATACTTTGGCGACGAATTTTCACTGAAAATTTTTCAGTGCGCGAACTCGCTGTTCGTACGTGTACAGAAAGCCCGATTTTTAGTACGTACAGCGAACTCGCCGTATTCTTCGATCATCAAAAACTAATGAATCGTCTCAAGTTTTACAGTCCCACGTATTAAAACTTTTCATTCACACTAATGTTGTTGTACGCCTTGCGTAGCCGCCAAACACGCGCTCCAAGTCTGGCCTAACACATATTTAGGATGCATCACACGCCTGCGCGTTTACACCTTCGGCCAGCCACTCGAGAAGTCGAGCTGGTTCCAGCCAAAGCGCTTGTCGCCGTCCGCGTAACCAATACGAGTGTCAACTGCGCAACATCATACAGTTAGCAATCAAAACTTCAATGACAAAGGGACAGCAACCAAAATCTTACCGTAGTGGTAGTACAGCACAGGTCCGTACTTCGGGTCCTTGTACACACCCTGGCCTCCCGGACCGTACACCCAGCCGTGCGACTCCAGCACCACCGAGCCGCCGTTGTTCCTGCAGTCGACGCCGTTCTTGTCCACGAAGCCCGACGTCGGGCTCTTGGAGCGGCACACGAGGATGCGGTATTCCTTGCCCTTGGCGGGGCGAGTTTTGTCATATCCACAGCACGAGCCCTTGGAGAAGAAGAGGTAGTAGTAGCCGTTGTACGCGAACTCGAACGCCGCCTCGACCACTTCGTAGTTGGAAGTGAAGGCGATCTGGTTTGCTGAGGCGCCCGTACTCTTCGCGGGGACCGTGGACATCTTCACCTGGTGAAGACCCTGCCAGTAGCTGCCGAAGTTAAGGTAGTACTGGCTGCCGACCTGGATCAGGTTCGGGTCGATGGCGTTGTACTTCTTGGACGCATTGCTCGTGACGCCCACGCTGCCCGCATCGACCCACGAGCCAGGCTCCATGGTCTTCGACCGCGTCAGACCGATGGCGGAGCTCTGAGTGCCAAAGGAGCTGACCGAGTAGTACAGGTAATACGTGTCGCCGACTTTGTTCACCTCAGGGGCCTAATTGGGAATAACAACATGAAAGCGTTAGCACCACTAACATCTATACGATATGCTTTTGCACGGCACCTACCCAGAGATCGTCCTTGCCCTTCAGGTTAATCTTCGAGCCGTTCGGCACAGCAGCACCGCGGTACGTCCATGGACCTGTCAGCGCTGGCGCAGAGTGGATGGCGATCTTGCTGCCCGTCGAGAAGCGGAAGTACGTGCCGTCGTCGCGGCGGATAATGGACGGGTCGTGGGCGTTGGTGCAAACTCCCGTGCACGTCTGCGGGTTGGCGTATCCGTTGACGACGCCAGCGACGAGGAGGGGAAGACCGACGAGAATCGAAAGGAGCTTCATTGTTCAAATTTGACTTGCGTTGGACGCTGTTGCGGTCGAATTTGAAAGTGCCAGTGCGTGAGCCGAGAGCCGCAACGTCTACCATTGCCTGCGAGTTGTTTCCTTGTATGCCGTGACTATTCCGAGTATCGTTGGCCAGGTAATTGCCAGATGAATCTGCAGTTACGGCTGGCGGCTGCACTAGATTTGCTCAACAACCATGTGGATTCGAGGGCAGATCACAGCAGTCGACAACTGGTAAACAATGCGAAGAACTGTAAAATGCTAGTATTCTCTGTTGTGTAGAAGAGATTTTATTTGGACTACTAAAGATTTCATCATCACCACTAATGGCGATTCTCTTGGTAGCTGCATGCTGCTTACCCGTACTCGTCCTGGTTGTTCAAGGATTAATAGAAAACTGTCGATACAGTCCTCCATCAACTTGCCTTGTTCAACCATTTGTGGACTCATCTTGTCCCTCCTTGCTATTGCCTTCAACTGACGAACTCCCGTCACCCGGAACTCGACGTATCCTCTGTTGTGCTCCATACTTTGGACGGGTTGTCGTCGAGGAACTTGGAGCAACTTAAGATATTATCTAATCAGTTAGAAACTTTCCTTGCTTTCGGCGAGTTTTTCCCTCGCAACCGCACAACTTTGTCATGATGCATAATTGTTGACACCCAAATCCTGGCAGCACTTGGACTACATTTTACATGTAGTGTACATCGACTGTATGTGTAACAGAAACACTTTCTTGGAGCAAACGCCTGCAGTTTCCCTTTCAACAAATTCTCAGTCAATCTTACCTCAGACCCCCAGTAAATCCCTTCGCGGATTCCGGTTGGTACTTACGGCGGGCAGATAGTAATCGGGCCTGCTATTTTCCTGGACGACGACTCCTCAACGACTGCTGTCGTACCGGTACCAGCAGTTGGCATGTCGGGGGAATCCCCAAAGGGGGATACAGTAGAATAAGAGTGGCGTAAGCTACGAACAGAGTACTGCCTGTAGCGCGGAATGCGTTTGGCAGCGGTGAGAGAGCCTTCGATCTGAACTAAAACTCCTTAGAACTGAACTAACAGTCTTCTCAGTGAACAAACATCCTGATAATAGAAATGAAGTGCTAGGGGGTGAACATAAGCGCCTGAGTCGTGAACTGAAGGGGTGAAGGAGAGCAAGGTTGCCTAGTCCCTCCACGTGTCAGCCGGCAGAAAAAGGAAATGCTTCTCTTGCTCTAGCGAGTCGGTGCCAGTGACATCGAACCTGCGTGCACTAATGAGCAGCACGGGTGATGAAGCGTCTTGGCCATCCTTTCGAGCGCCATCGTCTTGAGGTTAGCACGCCAAGGGCTTTGTCTATTATGTGCTAGATCGAATGGGGTGCCTATTTTTATTAAAGAAGAACTAACTGCTAGAGTTACTCCGGGCTCGACGGCGTTTGGCTTTGCCTTTTCGTTTGGATCTGGCCGGGCGGATAGAGCTATCGCCAGCTTCGGCTTCCTCGCTACCATCACGCAGCGTGTTTGCAGATACATACGAGAGGACGTCCTCCACGTCGAGCCACCCTAACGCGGAAAACGTTTGCATTTTACCTGGATGTTGGTCCCGCGTCAAGTAGATGTCAGAGAAGCTTTTGTCTTCGCGACCTGCTGCAATCACCTCGTGCAGTTTGCGCCGAGCTCTTGACTCGTCGTCGCGCCACTTGGCCACCATGTCGGACACTTCATCCTCCGATGACAACAAGGCAACAGTTGTTGCGGCTTCGATAGCTGTAGCCGCCGCTCGAATTGCACCAACAACAGAGCTTCGGCTGTCCCCTGGTACCTGCCAACCTACGTCGCTTATTAGGCAGCTCAGTATCGTTGAGACCGATCTTAACGCTTGCTTGGCTTCGTCCGACGCCCTGCATGCTTGTGAGAGGCGCAGTAGCTCACCCGTACGAATAGTAGCAACGTAGTTCGTACTCGCTTCCTTGTACCGACCAATTCTGCCCAGCAGAGCTCCATCCGCCACGTCGATGTCGGTGCGGTCTGTTGGCGAGCAGTGTACCAACCGAGGCGACGTCACTGGAACAAATGTAGGGACTCGATCCTTGCGCTCGTCGTAGATTCCTTTAGGGGCTTCAGCCAGAGGAAATGTGTGGTCTTCGTGGGCTTCGAAGTACGCGCTCCTGTCTTCTGGTAACAAGACACCCCATAAGCTGCGGTGGTACCGACCTGCTCTCTCTTTAAGCCAATCTGACGCTTTCTGGGGGTCATTCGCCGCATTCTCAGCGATTGTCCTCGCACCCAACGTGGTCCCTTTTGCCCTTACGATGGCCCAGAACGCAGCATGAGCCCTCATACCACAGTCTTCGCTATATTGACGCTATACAGCTAGAGATGGTCTCGCCAAGCAACAGTGTAGTGCCAACTATTTATAGTACGTAGTACGGGGTCCCAACGCTAAAAGCAGCGTCCTCAGACCACTTCTACAGCAGGAGGTATCCTTGGCAGGTCGCGCAATACCAGCGACTTGTCTGCATGATCAGGCTTCGAGCTACGAAGGCCTGGCCGAGTTGTATCTCGGCCGCCTTACCGAGTTATGGTAACTCGACCGCCTTGCCGAGTTATGGTAACACGGTGAACATAAGCAGCTGTGAAAAGCATTACTTCCACCGTTTCTCTGGACCTACATAAGTATTGTGCCTTTCGGTCATTTTGCCGAGTCCTGCGTAGGACTTTGGAGGTCAGTTAATCTGAGGTTGGCGGTCTCTAAATCTGAGATGCAAATCTCGGATGAGTCCGATGAGCGGTCTCCCGGAGTCTTCCGTTCAATGGACTCCGGTTGGAGTCCAAGCCAAGCAAGCTTTGTTTAAGGAAGCAAGCAATGCCGGAACTCGCGAAGGTGAAGGGCGAAGACTGGAGTGTTTAACGTATCGACTGCATCGTGTTTCCCTAAGTTTATTCTGCGTTTGACATACGCCGTATTAGAGTCAGCTCGTATGAAAGTCCTGCCACAAGACTTGGCAGGAGTCCTTCGTAAGACCTCAAACCCCGAATGCCGTGAAAATGGGCGACATTCGGGCTTTCGGCTGTTTGTAGGACCTGCGCAAGTGCTTCCATCGGACTAGCAATTCTTGGTCCTAATTCCCTACGACGGACCTGCTAATCTGCTCCGATAACCTAGCCCCATCTTAGTAGGTAGCTGTTTTACACGTCCGATTCGCCAAACCAACTGAAAAGCACAATACATCTGGGTTTGCCAGATGGCAACTATCCGTTCGTTTGCTCGATAAGGTTGTCAGTTCATTTCTACGAAAACGTTGTTCACGATTAAGGTTTTCTCGGCAGCGGTACGATGAGAGCACCCGACGACGCCGCGCCGTTCAGCGGAAGTGTGCCCATTAACAGCAGGAACACGCATGTAACGGTCTACCCAGATGCCGTGCTCTAGTCCGCAAAAGCTATGGGATTGAGACCGCGTTAGATCGGCAGGGGTCCGTTGTAATCTACGCATTTCAACAAAAGCGTCATCTTTGTTGACACCTTCCAATTCAATTTGACTCTCTAGAACGGATTTCTTGGGAATTGGTGCTACCTGATCACGCAACTTTGGGGCAAGACGGCAATTCTGCTACAGAATTCTGCCCGATAAGGAACGGGTGTATAACTAATAGCCTCACATATTTAATATTATTTTCCAGTCGATGTGGCGATAGGGGGATGTGCAAGGTACTGAGGTGAAAAATCCAGTGCCAATCATCAGCTCTCCACCCTCGTTTGAAAAATGGCGCGCATTTAGCGATCTTACTAGACTTCAAACTACATGTACCGTAGTGGTAGACTCGCACTTTTTCTTTTGCACCTCGCCCCACAAGCCCACCTCCTTCCCCACTCCACCCATGAAGTCCACACCGTCCAAGCGTCTCCGCCTCACTTAAAATGATGCAGGCTCTAGACCGGCTTGGTGAAGGGCTAGATAATCCCTACGAGGTCGACCAGTTGACAGCGCTGTTGTGGTGCGAGGATGCCTGGTCAAAGGTTAGTGCTTTGACCATACGCCACTGTTGGAATCATTCCGGACTCGTAGGTAAAGCTGCTCTTCAGTTCATTTTGAAATAACTAAACCAGTACATTGGAAAAGTATACTCAACTTAACATCAATTTATATATTCTGCGTCTTTATATATATCAGGCGTTCCTTACTCGGGCAGATTACTGTATAACAGGTTCGGGTCGATGGCGTTGTACTTCTTAGACGAGTCGCTCGTGACACCAATACTGCCCAGGTCCGTCCAAGAGCCGGCCTCCATGGTCTTCGACCGCGTCAGAGCGATAGCGGAGTTCTGCGTCCCGAAGGAGCTCACGGAGTAGTAGAGGTAGTAGTAGTCACCAACCTTGTGAACGTCCGGGGCCTGCAATAATGACAACGACCAACGAGTTAGTGATGGCATTGTGGAGTAAAGGAAGACACAATATGATCCTTCCTTACCCATAGGTCATCTTTACCCGCGAGGTTGATCGTCGAGCCACCAGGAACTGCAGCCCCGAGGTACGTCCACGGACCCGTCAGCGCTGGGGCCGAGTGGATGGCGATCTTGTTGCCCGTGGAGAACCGGAAGTAGGTACCGTCGTCGCGACGGATGATGGACGGGTCGTGTGCGTTGGTGCACGTGCCGGTGCAGAGCTTGGGGCTCACGTAGCCGTTGACGAGTCCGGCGAATACCAACGGCAATAGAGCGATGAGGACGGAGAGCAGCTTCATCTTTTAACGCGGACACCAAATAGGAAGTGGAGGGCGAGTGGCGTCGGTAGTGTAGAGGAACTGCCTGCACTGTGCCTCCTTGACGAAAGCTGTCACCAAGCGGATGGCGATCACCTCTTCTTGGCATATGCGGGCATGGAGCAATTTTGGCGTCGAGCAGCGAGAGGAGCCTGACAATCGCACGAGCGAGGATGCACTTGGAGTTCGCCTGACCCAGCAGCCGCGGTGACTGCGCTTCAACGTCTTGCTAAGCTTTGCAGCATTTTTCTGTGCGTGCAACGCTTTCGTTGACCTGCTGCTTGCACAGAACGGAAAACGAAGATGTACAGAATTCTGCCCGATAAGGAACGGGTGTATAACTAATAGCCTCACATATTTAATATTATTTTCCAGTCGATGTGGCGATAGGGGGATGTGCAAGGTACTGAGGTGAAAAATCCAGTGCCAATCATCAGCTCTCCACCCTCGTTTGAAAAATGGCGCGCATTTAGCGATCTTACTAGACTTCAAACTACATGTACCGTAGTGGTAGACTCGCACTTTTTCTTTTGCACCTCGCCCCACAAGCCCACCTCCTTCCCCACTCCACCCATGAAGTCCACACCGTCCAAGCGTCTCCGCCTCACTTAAAATGATGCAGGCTCTAGACCGGCTTGGTGAAGGGCTAGATAATCCCTACGAGGTCGACCAGTTGACAGCGCTGTTGTGGTGCGAGGATGCCTGGTCAAAGGTTAGTGCTTCGACCATACGCCACTGTTGGAATCATTCCGGACTCGTAGGTAAAGCTGCTCTTCAGTTCATTTTGAAATAACTAAACCAGTACATTGGAAAAGTATACTCAACTTAACATCAATTTATATATTCTGCGTCTTTATATATATCAGGCGTTCCTTACTCGGGCAGATTACTGTATAACAGGTTCGGGTCGATGGCGTTGTACTTCTTAGACGAGTCGCTCGTGACACCAATACTGCCCAGGTCCGTCCAAGAGCCGGCCTCCATGGTCTTCGACCGCGTCAGAGCGATAGCGGAGTTCTGCGTCCCGAAGGAGCTCACGGAGTAGTAGAGGTAGTAGTAGTCACCAACCTTGTGAACGTCCGGGGCCTGCAATAATGACAACGACCAACGAGTTAGTGATGGCATTGTGGAGTAAAGGAAGACACAATATGATCCTTCCTTACCCATAGGTCATCTTTACCCGCGAGGTTGATCGTCGAGCCACCAGGAACTGCAGCCCCGAGGTACGTCCACGGACCCGTCAGCGCTGGGGCCGAGTGGATGGCGATCTTGTTGCCCGTGGAGAACCGGAAGTAGGTACCGTCGTCGCGACGGATGATGGACGGGTCGTGTGCGTTGGTGCACGTGCCGGTGCAGAGCTTGGGGCTCGCGTAGCCGTTGACGAGTCCGGCGAATACCAACGGCAATAGAGCGATGAGGACGGAGAGCAGCTTCATCTTTTAACGCGGACACCAAATAGGAAGTGGAGGGCGAGTGGCGTCGGTAGTGTAGAGGAACTGCCTGCACTGTGCCTCCTTGACGAAAGCTGTCACCAAGCGGATGGCGATCACCTCTTCTTGGCATATGCGGGCATGGAGCAATTTTGGCGTCGAGCAGCGAGAGGAGCCTGACAATCGCACGAGCGAGGATGCACTTGGAGTTCGCCTGACCCAGCAGCCGCGGTGACTGCGCTTCAACGTCTTGCTAAGCTTTGCAGCATTTTTCTGTGCGTGCAACGCTTTCGTTGACCTGCTGCTTGCACAGAACGGTAAAACGAAGATGTACAGAATTCTGCCCGATAAGGAACGGGTGTATAACTAATAGCCTCACATATTTAATATTATTTTCCAGTCGATGTGGCGATAGGGGGATGTGCAAGGTACTGAGGTGAAAAATCCAGTGCCAATCATCAGCTCTCCACCCTCGTTTGAAAAATGGCGCGCATTTAGCGATCTTACTAGACTTCAAACTACATGTACCGTAGTGGTAGACTCGCACTTTTTCTTTTGCACCTCGCCCCACAAGCCCACCTCCTTCCCCACTCCACCCATGAAGTCCACACCGTCCAAGCGTCTCCGCCTCACTTAAAATGATGCAGGCTCTAGACCGGCTTGGTGAAGGGCTAGATAATCCCTACGAGGTCGACCAGTTGACAGCGCTGTTGTGGTGCGAGGATGCCTGGTCAAAGGTTAGTGCTTCGACCATACGCCACTGTTGGAATCATTCCGGACTCGTAGGTAAAGCTGCTCTTCAGTTCATTTTGAAATAACTAAACCAGTACATTGGAAAAGTATACTCAACTTAACATCAATTTATATATTCTGCGTCTTTATATATATCAGGCGTTCCTTACTCGGGCAGATTACTGTATAACAGGTTCGGGTCGATGGCGTTGTACTTCTTAGACGAGTCGCTCGTGACACCAATACTGCCCAGGTCCGTCCAAGAGCCGGCCTCCATGGTCTTCGACCGCGTCAGAGCGATAGCGGAGTTCTGCGTCCCGAAGGAGCTCACGGAGTAGTAGAGGTAGTAGTAGTCACCAACCTTGTGAACGTCCGGGGCCTGCAATAATGACAACGGCCAACGAGTTAGTGATGGCATTGTGGAGTAAAGGAAGACACAATATGATCCTTCCTTACCCATAGGTCATCTTTACCCGCGAGGTTGATCGTCGAGCCACCAGGAACTGCAGCCCCGAGGTACGTCCACGGACCCGTCAGCGCTGGGGCCGAGTGGATGGCGATCTTGTTGCCCGTGGAGAACCGGAAGTAGGTACCGTCGTCGCGACGGATGATGGACGGGTCGTGTGCGTTGGTGCACGTGCCGGTGCAGAGCTTGGGGCTCGCGTAGCCGTTGACGAGTCCGGCGAATACCAACGGCAATAGAGCGATGAGGACGGAGAGCAGCTTCATCTTTTAACGCGGACACCAAATAGGAAGTGGAGGGCGAGTGGCGTCGGTAGTGTAGAGGAACTGCCTGCACTGTGCCTCCTTGACGAAAGCTGTCACCAAGCGGATGGCGATCACCTCTTCTTGGCATATGCGGGCATGGAGCAATTTTGGCGTCGAGCAGCGAGAGGAGCCTGACAATCGCACGAGCGAGGATGCACTTGGAGTTCGCCTGACCCAGCAGCCGCGGTGACTGCGCTTCAACGTCTTGCTAAGCTTTGCAGCATTTTTCTGTGCGTGCAACGCTTTCGTTGACCTGCTGCTTGCACAGAACGGAAAAACGAAGATGTACAGAATTCTGCCCGATAAGGAACGGGTGTATAACTAATAGCCTCACATATTTAATATTATTTTCCAGTCGATGTGGCGATAGGGGGATGTGCAAGGTACTGAGGTGAAAAATCCAGTGCCAATCATCAGCTCTCCACCCTCGTTTGAAAAATGGCGCGCATTTAGCGATCTTACTAGACTTCAAACTACATGTACCGTAGTGGTAGACTCGCACTTTTTCTTTTGCACCTCGCCCCACAAGCCCACCTCCTTCCCCACTCCACCCATGAAGTCCACACCGTCCAAGCGTCTCCGCCTCACTTAAAATGATGCAGGCTCTAGACCGGCTTGGTGAAGGGCTAGATAATCCCTACGAGGTCGACCAGTTGACAGCGCTGTTGTGGTGCGAGGATGCCTGGTCAAAGGTTAGTGCTTCGACCATACGCCACTGTTGGAATCATTCCGGACTCGTAGGTAAAGCTGCTCTTCAGTTCATTTTGAAATAACTAAACCAGTACATTGGAAAAGTATACTCAACTTAACATCAATTTATATATTCTGCGTCTTTATATATATCAGGCGTTCCTTACTCGGGCAGATTACTGTATAACAGGTTCGGGTCGATGGCGTTGTACTTCTTAGACGAGTCGCTCGTGACACCAATACTGCCCAGGTCCGTCCAAGAGCCGGCCTCCATGGTCTTCGACCGCGTCAGAGCGATAGCGGAGTTCTGCGTCCCGAAGGAGCTCACGGAGTAGTAGAGGTAGTAGTAGTCACCAACCTTGTGAACGTCCGGGGCCTGCAATAATGACAACGACCAACGAGTTAGTGATGGCATTGTGGAGTAAAGGAAGACACAATATGATCCTTCCTTACCCATAGGTCATCTTTACCCGCGAGGTTGATCGTCGAGCCACCAGGAACTGCAGCCCCGAGGTACGTCCACGGACCCGTCAGCGCTGGGGCCGAGTGGATGGCGATCTTGTTGCCCGTGGAGAACCGGAAGTAGGTACCGTCGTCGCGACGGATGATGGACGGGTCGTGTGCGTTGGTGCACGTGCCGGTGCAGAGCTTGGGGCTCACGTAGCCGTTGACGAGTCCGGCGAATACCAACGGCAATAGAGCGATGAGGACGGAGAGCAGCTTCATCTTTTAACGCGGACACCAAATAGGAAGTGGAGGGCGAGTGGCGTCGGTAGTGTAGAGGAACTGCCTGCACTGTGCCTCCTTGACGAAAGCTGTCACCAAGCGGATGGCGATCACCTCTTCTTGGCATATGCGGGCATGGAGCAATTTTGGCGTCGAGCAGCGAGAGGAGCCTGACAATCGCACGAGCGAGGATGCACTTGGAGTTCGCCTGACCCAGCAGCCGCGGTGACTGCGCTTCAACGTCTTGCTAAGCTTTGCAGCATTTTTCTGTGCGTGCAACGCTTTCGTTGACCTGCTGCTTGCACAGAACGGAAAAACGAAGATGTACAGAATTCTGCCCGATAAGGAACGGGTGTATAACTAATAGCCTCACATATTTAATATTATTTTCCAGTCGATGTGGCGATAGGGGGATGTGCAAGGTACTGAGGTGAAAAATCCAGTGCCAATCATCAGCTCTCCACCCTCGTTTGAAAAATGGCGCGCATTTAGCGATCTTACTAGACTTCAAACTACATGTACCGTAGTGGTAGACTCGCACTTTTTCTTTTGCACCTCGCCCCACAAGCCCACCTCCTTCCCCACTCCACCCATGAAGTCCACACCGTCCAAGCGTCTCCGCCTCACTTAAAATGATGCAGGCTCTAGACCGGCTTGGTGAAGGGCTAGATAATCCCTACGAGGTCGACCAGTTGACAGCGCTGTTGTGGTGCGAGGATGCCTGGTCAAAGGTTAGTGCTTCGACCATACGCCACTGTTGGAATCATTCCGGACTCGTAGGTAAAGCTGCTCTTCAGTTCATTTTGAAATAACTAAACCAGTACATTGGAAAAGTATACTCAACTTAACATCAATTTATATATTCTGCGTCTTTATATATATCAGGCGTTCCTTACTCGGGCAGATTACTGTATAACAGGTTCGGGTCGATGGCGTTGTACTTCTTAGACGAGTCGCTCGTGACACCAATACTGCCCAGGTCCGTCCAAGAGCCGGCCTCCATGGTCTTCGACCGCGTCAGAGCGATAGCGGAGTTCTGCGTCCCGAAGGAGCTCACGGAGTAGTAGAGGTAGTAGTAGTCACCAACCTTGTGAACGTCCGGGGCCTGCAATAATGACAACGACCAACGAGTTAGTGATGGCATTGTGGAGTAAAGGAAGACACAATATGATCCTTCCTTACCCATAGGTCATCTTTACCCGCGAGGTTGATCGTCGAGCCACCAGGAACTGCAGCCCCGAGGTACGTCCACGGACCCGTCAGCGCTGGGGCCGAGTGGATGGCGATCTTGTTGCCCGTGGAGAACCGGAAGTAGGTACCGTCGTCGCGACGGATGATGGACGGGTCGTGTGCGTTGGTGCACGTGCCGGTGCAGAGCTTGGGGCTCACGTAGCCGTTGACGAGTCCGGCGAATACCAACGGCAATAGAGCGATGAGGACGGAGAGCAGCTTCATCTTTTAACGCGGACACCAAATAGGAAGTGGAGGGCGAGTGGCGTCGGTAGTGTAGAGGAACTGCCTGCACTGTGCCTCCTTGACGAAAGCTGTCACCAAGCGGATGGCGATCACCTCTTCTTGGCATATGCGGGCATGGAGCAATTTTGGCGTCGAGCAGCGAGAGGAGCCTGACAATCGCACGAGCGAGAATGCACTTGGAGTTCGCCTGACCCAGCAGCCGCGGTGACTGCGCTTCAACGTCTTGCTAAGCTTTGCAGCATTTTTCTGTGCGTGCAACGCTTTCGTTGACCTGCTGCTTGCACAGAACGGAAAAACGAAGATGTACAGAATTCTGCCCGATAAGGAACGGGTGTATAACTAATAGCCTCACATATTTAATATTATTTTCCAGTCGATGTGGCGATAGGGGGATGTGCAAGGTACTGAGGTGAAAAATCCAGTGCCAATCATCAGCTCTCCACCCTCGTTTGAAAAATGGCGCGCATTTAGCGATCTTACTAGACTTCAAACTACATGTACCGTAGTGGTAGACTCGCACTTTTTCTTTTGCACCTCGCCCCACAAGCCCACCTCCTTCCCCACTCCACCCATGAAGTCCACACCGTCCAAGCGTCTCCGCCTCACTTAAAATGATGCAGGCTCTAGACCGGCTTGGTGAAGGGCTAGATAATCCCTACGAGGTCGACCAGTTGACAGCGCTGTTGTGGTGCGAGGATGCCTGGTCAAAGGTTAGTGCTTCGACCATACGCCACTGTTGGAATCATTCCGGACTCGTAGGTAAAGCTGCTCTTCAGTTCATTTTGAAATAACTAAACCAGTACATTGGAAAAGTATACTCAACTTAACATCAATTTATATATTCTGCGTCTTTATATATATCAGGCGTTCCTTACTCGGGCAGATTACTGTAGGATAAGGAAGCTTTCTCCCAACTTGGCATTCCTTGCGCTTCTCTGTCATTGCATCTATCCAATCAGGACAAGTTCTTCAATGAATTTAGCCAATCACGATCGATTCGTGTGTATCCCAACATTTTCCCAATTATTTTGGGAATTTACAGTCTTGCTAGAATAATATCCAATACAAAAGTTTAGTGTAATTGTTGCATTACTCATATTTGACCGCAAATTCCCAATACAAATCATGATTGTATCGTTGGTGGCTGTGACTCGTCTGCTTTCTCTCCTCTCCCATTTGAAAAGATGCAGCGAGCGCCGAGAGGGCTTGACATCCCGCAAGGGACAGCAGGGCAGGAGGCAGCGGCGATGAAGTGCTTCAGCGAATTCTTAGCTCTTGCTAACATGAATGAGGAGTCAATTGCTAGTATTGCGAAGTCGCTGTCTATTCCTGATGCTCTACCAAGTCAAAACTTTTACTCTTTGCTAACCGCCTTCTCCATTTTCTTGCAAACTAAGCCAAGTGCTCGAGGAGGCCGTCTTGCTAAGGCTACTGCTGTGGGCTATATGTCCCAAGTTGTGAACCTGCTCCGAGAGCGGTACCCTCTGTACTTGTCAGACAGCAAGCGAATTGCGAAAATACGCGACAAAATGGGTTCAACTATTGAGGAGCGAAATTTGCTAGCTGGCGTGCAGACTGGTGAAGCTCCAGGCTGCACGCTCGGCGACTTGCGTGTTCTGGTGCAGGAAACTGCGATTAAGGGGGTTGGCTCAGGTTATAAGAGCTTACATGACGCTGCTGTACTAACGTTAATGTGGCACACGTTTGGTCGAGCGATCGATACCTGTTTTGCTAGGAAGAGCCAGCTATCTATGGCGGCATCGGGGGAGCTCTTTCTGCATCTAGCTCGAATCAAGACTTCGGTGGTTCAAGGCATCTCAATTTACAAGGCCGCGACTCACTGGGAGCAGTGTATGCTGCACGGCCTCGGAATGCTGTTCGTCGGAGCGTCGGAGCCTTCCAGCTATGTGTTCCCGCTAGTGCCGCACGCGGCGGCATCGGATTTGCCAGGGGAGAAGACCTACAGCCAAGACGAAGCTATACTCTACTGGGAGAACCTTGAAGAGAAAGCTGAACCAAGGAACGAGCCACCAACAAAGCGCGTGAGAGGAAGGCCCAACGTGTCCAAGTATATTAACGACGTCATCACCATGGTCTGCGAGCGCCAAGCCCAGGCCTCTGCCCCGCTGCCCCCGACGCTCACCGCAGGGCTGAGCAGCCACTCCTTGCGCCGCGGCTCCGCAGCGTATGCAAACGCCTCACCGCAGCTTGCGATCCAGTGGATCTCGACCCGGGGAGCTTGGCTGCTAGACTCGCTCACGAAGGCGTTCGCGTACGTGGGTACCACGACACGCGAGGACCAGAGTGTCGGCAAAGTCCTCGCTGGATACCGAGACCCGCACCTGCCATGCGTCACGCCCACGATTGCCACCTTGAACGAGCTTCTTCCTGCGCTCGAGTACGCCCAGCTGCTAACCCTGCGCGGCCAGCTCTTCAAGAACGTCAGCGGCTTCACGGACACCACGCTCAACGTTGACGCCTTAGTCCTGGATGCGGCGCTCGCGTCCCTGCTCATCCATCTTGACGACGTCGCGACGGCAGTCCAGCAGGAGCAGGCTGCCACAGGCTTCACATTGCATTACCTGTACCGCTTCACGAAGCTCTGGACGCAACCAACGTAGCGCTGGGAGCTCGGCTCTCGCTGGACACGTGCATTGGTTGGGGTCGGCAGCTTCGCACGGCTTGGCAAACGGAGAACTTCGGACAGCTGGGTGAACGCAGCAATGGAAACACCACCATACTTGCCGCAGCCGTCACCCAGATGCTATCGTCCATCGCAGCAATGCAGCGCACACTTCAGAAGCTCGTCGCGGTCCACAAGAGCAAGTCCACCAGCGCTGACGGTCCTGCTCCTTGTCGCTGTGCTGGCCAGGCCCCGCAGGCGAGCACTGACACCGTCGTTGAAGTGCACTCTCTTGCTAGCTGCTTCTACAACTGGTACACACTGGAGCTGTGGCACACGGCGGCAACCCAAAAGAAACAACAGTTTGTTCGCGCTGACCTCAAGGCAGGCGTCAACATCATGATCATAGCAGCAGGGCGAGAGGTAGACGTACCAACGGCGCCACTGGACCGGGACGGCGTCGCGTATCGGCTGTGGAAGCAGCGTGTCTGGACGCTAGCAGAAGACTTGGACAAGAAGGTCAACGCTGCGCTTGGGAGTATCGACGGTAAAGGCCTATCCAAAACCGCGGGGTCGCTACGGAAGCGCTGGAGAAAGCTGCGCGTTGACCACTGCTCTGCGTACGACGCGCTCTGCTCAGCATTTATCACCCGCAAAGCGAACAGTGGCATTGTCGACCGCTGCACACCAGCAAGTCACCAATGGAAGCAAAAAGACTTGGAGTCGTAGGATCACGCAGCTTGTATTAACGCTTAATACATTCCTATTCATACAACATGGATAATCGAATTCAAGGCGCAAATGCACCCGTCATCGCCATCCCACAACTTAAGCATAGCGCATGGATTCCCGTCAGTCCCGATACAAAGTCATACACAATAGAAAAACGCTCACATACCGTCAGCGAGCGCGCACGACCTCGTGCTTGGCCGACAGCTACCAAACCGGCAGCATAACACCCGCCCTGCCGGGTTTTGTAGCTCCTTTCGACGGGTCCTTGCGTGGGGCGCGTGGGGCGCGCCTGGGGGCACTCGGGTCTGGGGTGGTCGGCGGGGGAGGCGTGCGGCACGCTCGGAGCGCGCTGTCGTGTTGGAGATGCGGGGCGGAAAGTGTGAAGGCGGAGAAGGCTGCGCAGCCGGCCAAAAATAAAACCTTAAGGTTTTTTCTTGGCTTTGGAGCCGATAAACCAGTCCATACTTTGTTGAAGTCATTTGGAATCTCACTTATGATTGGCTCTCCTCATTGGGAGCGGCGTTTGGGACCTGGTCGATTAATGTACATGTACTCCAGACACTGTATGAGTCTTGGGTGATGAGCAGTTATCTAAAGTTTTTGATACGAATTTGGTCATTTATTGACTTTTAGTTGACGCAGAAAACATCAAAGTATAAGGGACTGTACGACTGCCGTCTCTAGATGATATAGAGGGTCGAACACCTAGTTGATGCCAAAGTTGCTCGTGGTCTTGCTCCACTGCTTGGCACTGCGCGGGCTGTAACCGGAGATGGCCGAGTACGACTTGACCTTGGACAGGGCCGTGGATCCGCTGCGAGAGCCGAAGGGGCCGCTGTTGTCCACAACGTTGGCGGCGCAAGAGCGGCCGAGGTAGCTGCTGCACTCGGTGGTGGCGGTGGCGGCGTACATGTAGCCATCCGAGCCGGAGAGCAGCGGCGCCGTCGTGTCCTCGAAGTAGTTGCCCTCGGCGAGGATCCACGCGTTGACGCCGACCTCAAATGAGTGGCCCGAGTTGTCGGCCCAGTAGTTGTTGGCGATGTGAGCCACGACGTTGGCGCTGCTGTCCCCTCCGAGCTTGGGCGAGCGGCCCGACGTCGAGTGGATGTAGTTGTTGAGCATGCTGAAGCGCGTGTTGGCGCCGTAGAAGATGAAGGACCAGTAGTGGCGGCCGTCGCACGTGGCCGAGTAGTCGGTGCGGCCGTCGAAGTCCGAGTTGCTGATGGTCATGGTGGACACGCTGGCGGCGTTGGTCGTGAGGAACTGGCGCCCCCTTGATGTGGTCCAGCCAGATCTTGCTCATGGCCGTCGAGCCGCCGTTGCTGCCCTGGATGTAGATGGCGTCGCCGCCCCAGACCAAGTGGCGGTTGAGCTCCGTGATGTGGACGTTCTGGATGATGATGTTGTCGCCGTTGAGCCAAAGCCCCTTGCCCATGATCACGCCGGTCGTGCCGATGCCACCCAGCGTCTTGTTGCTCGTCACCGTCATGGGGGTAATGGCGGCGTTGTCGTAGGTGACCGTAACGCTGGTGCCGTCCGAGCATCCGCCCGTGTTGGACATGCCGCCGCTCTGCAGGATCACATCCTGGCTCTTGTAGCCGTTGTTCTTGGCGATGCACGCGCGGGTGTAGTCCGGACGGCAACCGGCTTCGGTCGTGGTGCCTTCGGTGCCGCGGAAGTCGAAGGTCTTGTTCAGCACGATGACACGGGGCACCGAGTCTTTCAGATACGCAACGAGCTGCGCCGTCGTGGTCGGGTACACGGGGGTGGCGCTGCCTCCACCCGTAGTTCCAGCAGCCAGACCAGTGGCCGAACCGACGGTGAAGGCTTCAGAGGTCTGGAAGACGAGAGCCACAACGGCAACGAGAACGGGACGCAGGAACTTCATTGTCGGGAATGGAGGGGGGGCTTGTTCCGGACGAAGCGAATTGATGAATGAATGACCGCTCGGCTTGAATCGGGGGCCACGGAGGCCCTCGAGCACGCTACATCGGCGGATCAAGACGTCTCTGTGTCCCGCCGTCAGCGGATGGCTGTTGCTGCCGATAGGAGATGATATTAGTACGTAGGTGTCTGCTGCATTGGGGCTATTCGAAGTGACCGTCCTGGCACGGGTGTCAGCCGACGGCTTGCTTGACTTGGTTGCACATGTCCCTGGTGCATCTGTTGAGCTCTGCCGATCCATCGGCCAGATGACATCTGGCCGCATCTTCGCGTCAAACTCTATGCGACTAGCAAAACGCTAGTCGCGTACACGACGCGGCGATAAAGTGAAGAGGACGGACACGACGTTCACGGCGGCCACGACGTGACCGATTTTTGAACGCGAAAAATGATGCCGGACTCCGTAGCGCGCTGGCGATATCGTTCGGCTGTCGTCGTCTTCAGGGAAGACTCTTCGCGGCGTGGGGCGAGGTGCTGTCAGAGATAACAATCGAGGAGCGGCGTGCGAGGTATCCACGCACATGGATCCCCCCAAAGACAAGTTAAACGGGGTGGAGCTATGTGCGCGTCGGGGTCCGACCAGGGCACCGTGGCGCAGATTTGCTCGCGAAAGGGGAATCCCTTCAAGGGATCAAGCGAGTCGCCAGGCTTATCTGCTTGTTGTGTGTACACGCCGTAGTGGCACTGCATGTACGTCGTGCAAGGCGTGGGTAGAACTACATGTACCGCAGAATTCAACACTGTTGTAGTGTCCAAAGCCAGGAAAGATGTGTGGCCCCCGCCACCTTGCGAGGGGTACCGCCGCCAGCGTTTCACGAAGCTGCGTTGCTTCAAGGAGTGTCAATGCAAACGGGGTGTCCTTGAAGACAAAACGTTGGTATACGCAGGTCAAAACGTTTGCTGAGGTTGCCAAGATTTGCTGTCCGTGGGATTTGGTTCGTCACCAACGTGTTTCGGTGGATAACATTACCTGTACCGGCCCTCGTTGAACTATCCCTTCAACGAGCACTGTTGACCGGGCAATACCTTACATTGCCTCGGCAGCCGTGCAAGCAAGGGTAAATAACGGGCGCGCTTGGGCAGGACCAGATACGCACTCGCTGTTCGAACGGGTCAGCTTTCAAACACCAAGACGGTTCCCCCCCACGCTCCCCGCTCGCTCCCGCCACGGGTGGTGGTCATTCTCCAATTCGCATCGCGCGGCACAAGCTCTTCGGTCCATCGCTTACATGCCTTCGAAGATGCAGCTCCTCCATCACCACGGGCGGAGGCAATGCGACCCCCGTCTACCCTAAGACGAACAGCCAACTCGCCGCGTACCTCAAGGACGCCGTGCCCCGAGTGATCGTCTTGACGCAGACGTCACTTGGTGTGGGGCGGCGACGCCATCTACATGCAAGGCCGCAACGGCGGCTCGACGGCCATGAACAAGATCTGGCTGGACCACATCAAGATCTCTCGCATCGGCCGCCAGTTCCTCGTCGCCAACAACGCCGAGGTCGCTTCCTTGACCATCAGCAACTCGGACTTCGACGGCCGCACAGACTACTCCGCCTCGTGCGACGGCCGCCACTACTGGACGTTCCTCCTGTACGGCAAGAACACGAAGGTAAGCATGGTCAACAACTACGTGCACTCGACCTCGGGCCGCTCCCCCAAGATCGGCGGTGCCAGCGACGCCAACGCTATTGCACACGTGGTCAACAACTACTGGGCGGACAACTCCGGGCACTCGTTCGAGCTCGGCGAGAACGGATACGTCCTTGCCGAAGGAAACTACTACCAGGATACGGTGGCGCCGCTGTCGGCTGGCAACGAGGGAGCCATCTACGCAGCCACGGCCTCCACCGAATGCAAGAACTACTTAGGTCGGTCGTGTGTGGCGAATGTGCTGGACAAGAGCGGCTCGCTCACGTCGTGCAACGGCGCCACAGCTCTGTCCAAGATTAAGGGCAACTCGGCCGTCTCGAAGTTCGCGCCACGAGCGGCGAAGAAGCTGGTCAAGACGACCAAAAACTTTGGAATTGGTGTGCTCAACTAGATTGAAGACGTTTAGTGTTAAAGCAGTCACTGTAGTGGTACAACTGCAACTTGTACACATTCATGTGCGTCCTTGAAATGTAGTGCACCTGTACCTGCACCGAGTACAGAAATCTGCCTCAATACCGAACGGGTATACAATACATAACCTCATATAAATAATACTTCAAGGTCCAACAACAGGACGAACGGAGATGGGCAAAGGTACTGATGTAAAAATCCAGGATACCTTTGTTTGGCTAAAAGTACTAAGCTGTGCAGTTTGAAAATTGGCGCCCTTTTGATTGTCTGTGCGATCTTCTCTGTATTTACGATTCCACTTTCACATTTGCGCACTACCCGCTAAGCCCTCTAGGAGTAGTACAAAGTAGAGCTACTAACCGCACTGATGTGGTGCGAACACGCTTGGTCGAAGGTCAGCGCTGAAACAACTCAGCACTGTTTTACTCGGGTTTGATTAACTAAGCAAGCGTCAAATCCCGTCTAAGATAAACTAATTCAGTACAGCCTTTCTCTGGTAACGCTGAGATCACTTTATCAACCTGGAGCCCTTATATATATCAGGCGTTCGGTATTCAGGCAGAGTTCTGTACATGTACTGTTTGTTTAGCCCTGATGAAACTTTGGATGTCTTGTCATAGAGCAGACTAATACAAGTTGCATTTCGCGTGCGTAGTTCAAGATTCAACTGTCTCAATGCGTTGGATCAGCCCACGCCCTTGACGCGGATACCGCCGAGTCGGCCGAAATGAGGTTCTGTGCTGATAGCATAGAGCCTCATTTCCGTTTTCTCCTCGCCGGCACAAGTCCAACATGGCGGAAAGACTCTCGCTTCTCGCCCTGCTGTCTTTGGTCGTGACCACCACCACTGTCGTCGACGCCTACGCTCAACCGAAGCTGTGCACTGACGCCTGCACGAACGCCCACGACCCGTCCATCATCCGCCGCGACGATGGAACGTACTTCCGCTTCTCCACCGGCGGCAGGATCGCCATCCACACTGCGCCTGCTCTAACGGGGCCCTGGACGTACAAGGGGGCCGCTGTTCCTGCCGGCTCGATCATCAATCTCAACGGGAAAGATGACCTCTGGGTACGTATGAAATGTATTAGTGCTGCATGAAGAGATATGTTTACTGTAAATTGGCAGGCCCCCGACGTCCGCAAAGTCGGCAGCTGGTACTACCTTTACTACTCTGTAAGCACGTTTGGCACGCAGAACTCTGCCATTGGGCTCGCGCGCTCCCGCACAATGGACGTCGGCACTTGGGTGGATCGCGGGACCACTGGCATCGTCAGCAGCTCCAGCAAACCTACAACGCCATCGACCCGAACCTCATCGAAGTCAACGGCGCGTACTACCTGAGCTTTGGGAGCTACTGGCAGGGACTCTACCAAGCCCCCATGCGAGACCCTCCAGTAATGCCGAGCAGTACCCCCTACCAGATTGCATTCACGGGTGACTATCAGGTCCTGGAAGCTGCGTTCGTGTTCCACTACGGCAGCTACTACTACCTTTTCATGTCCAAGGGACAATGCTGCAACCTCGACAAGTCTCGCCCGGCTGCGGGCAAGGAGTACCGCATCCTCGTATGTCGGTCTTCGTCCCCCACCGGCGGCTTCGTGGACCAGAGCGGCAAGGATTGCAGGGCTGGCGGTGGGACTGTGGTGCGAGCGTCGGAGGGATACTTCTACGCCCCCGGCGGACAGGGCGTCTACGACGACCCGACCTATGGGCCCGTGCTGTATTACCACTACGGTAGGTGCACTACACTCACACGAACAGCTCATACTCCTTGTTTAACCATGTTGTTGATCTGTTCTCCATAGTTGACACACGCATCGGGTACGCAGATGGGGACAAACGATTCGGCTGGAACACCCTGGACTTCTCGACCGGTTGGCCCCGTATCAGCCCGTGAGTTGACGGGGCTCGTGGACTTGGTGTTAACACTCCCTGGGCAGCAACGGCGTCATTCCTCCTTAATTGCATACTGTACATGTACTTGTACATATGCAGTGAAATGTTTACTGTATTGCCAACTCAATCAATTCAGGTTCATTATGGAAAGGCACGCTAACTTACACCCCCAGAAGGCCTGAACTCTGCACTTCCCTTCATGATTAATGGACGGTCCGATGGCCATAGCGGTGGTGTTGTTCGATGAGATCGAGAAGCTTACGAGGAGCAGCAGAGCTTTTCGTCTTAATATTTTCATTTTTTTCTTCTTTTGAGTCGCACGCGTTGCCTGTACATTCGAGCCAGGGAGAGCAAGCGCCCGCAGTAACGCTGTTTGCGCTCGTTTACGGTGTAGTAAAATATACGGAAGAGGACCTACCGTAGGTACAGTCGGAACCTCGCCAGGATCGTCGACCCGATCTCGAAAAGTATAACCTAGATTCGTGCGTTATTCTATGCTGAAGGTCATTTCCACCCAACCGAAGCAGTGAATTTCGACATGGTTTGCTGTAGTTCGGCAAGCGATGTTATCGATGAACGAGAGGAAGTCCGGTGCTAACCGCATTCTGACGACGCGATGTTCCCTTTGACCCCACCGAAATTTTAGCCAGTCCTATCCACTTCAATTCCTTTAGACTTTTCGGATGGGGAATCGTAATCCGCCGCCGAGACTCAGTTGGAGGCGCAGACTGAGTCTCGGAGTCTGCGGCGACTGTACAGTGCTCGCGGGCACTGATTAAAGCAACATTGAAATGTTGGCGTTGCGTAGCATTGAGCGCAACAATGGTGCCTCTGCCTAACATTGCACAATGTTACGGTATCTCTCGTAGCAGAATATTTGTTTACCAATGTGACAATAGTGGACACGCGTCGCCACGACAGCTCGACAGCTTGACAGACATCACGACAGCGAAACACGCTGTATCACTCGGGGCGTGCGCCAACAGCTTCCGCCGCTAACGCGGCAAGCGCGTCATGGTGTATGCGCCGAGTCGGCGCCGCCGACACATGCAGCAGGAGAATGGGCTCTACGGGATCTACGCGCAGCTCTACCTGGGCGCCACGTGTTGTCTATTCCTAGTTGGCAGGACACTCTCGCGTTGGCTTTCGCCTGCGGACTTAGCGACGGCACTTCGGGGGGGGGGGGGGCCTCTCTCGCTTCGCTCGGGGGGCGCCGCTGTGCGGTCCTCGGCTCGGCCAGGCGCGGTGTCTAGGAAAAAAAATATCGGGTTGCAGCGCTCGCCTTCGCTCGCTCGCGCAGACCCGCCCCCGCCTGATCGGCGGGTGTTGACGATCGGTGAACGCGCTCGCGCTCGCGTTCGCGTTCGCTCGCCCTCCCCCTTTAACCTAACTGCGCTGTTGGCTAGAGGCGCATTAAAAGCGCTTACGCCTGCTTAGAAGGTAGCGCATTCGATTGCATGCAACACGCATCGCACCTGACGCAACGCAACGCACTGGGAAGGCGTTTGCTCCCGCATACGTAGTACACACATGCATATAAGCACCGCAGTAGGACATGCACACATTAGAATAAGGTTGAGCGGGTGACCGCTGCAGACGGTCGCACGACGCGGAGGCGTAGCGAGCGCGCGGCCGCTTGCTTCCTACCCGGTAGATTCTGAAATGAGAGCTGTTGTGAGCCAGTTGCTCCAAACATGAAATTTCACGTCTGGAAAATTTACATTGCGTCAATGTTAGCGATCACGCATCAATGTTATTGATCCCACACATTGAGGCTGATTTTCAATGTTGCTTTAATGACTCTCGTGCTCGCGGGCAGCTCCGTAAAATCGAGCGCGCCGCACACTCCGTTGGCAGATCACTTTCGCTTTCTCGTCGCCCGCTTCAGACACCCCAAGTTCAGTCGCCCCAATGGTGAAGACTCTCTCGTGGCTCGCAGCATTCCCGCTCCTGGCGGCAGCAACTGGCGTCAACGGATACGCCGCCCCCGGCGCATGCTCCACAGGCTGCACGAACGCGCACGACCCGTCCATCATCCAGAGCGCCGACGGAACGTACTACCGCTTCTCCACGGGCGGCAACATCTCGGTGCACACCGCGCCGGACATCTCGGGGCCGTGGGAGTTTAAAGGCCCTGCGCTTCCGGCCGGCTCCAGCATCGAATTGAAGGGCCGATACGATCTCTGGGTAAGTTCCGGTATCTACTGTAGTACTCCACAGTGTTTTCAACCCTAACTACGTCCTGGTTGCAGGCTCCTGATGTACACAAGGCCGGCAACTTCTACTACCTCTACTACTCAGTGAGCAGCTTCGGCACGCAGGATTCCGCGATCGGTGTAGCCCGCTCGAGTTCGCTGGACGGTCCGTGGGAAGACAGCGGATCTACCGGTATCACGAGCGACGCGAGCAAGCCCTACAACGCTATCGACCCGAACCTGGTTGAGGCAGACGGAGGCTACTACCTGACCTTCGGCAGCTACTGGCAAGGCATCCACCAGTCTCACATGCGCGACCCGCCGATTCTATCTAGCTCTGACCCCGCTCAGATCGGCTTCACGTCCAACTTCGAGGTGCTCGAAGGCCCTTACATCTTCAAGCACGGCGAGTTCTACTACCTCTTCATGTCCAAGGGCAAGTGCTGCACCTACGACAAGACCATGCCGGCTAAAGGAAAGGAGTACCGCATTCTCGCGTGTCGCTCGTCCAAGGCCACGGGCGGCTTCGTGGACAAGGACGGCGTGGACTGCACCAAGGACGGAGGCACCGTTGTGCTCGAATCGCACGACGACGTCTTTGGCCCCGGCGGCCAGGGCGTCTACGACGACCCGGCTCATGGTCCAGTTCTGTACTACCACTACGGTGAGTCTTCTTCATGTGATACCTCGGCGCTATTTTGGTCATGCACTCACGATTGTTCTTTGTGAATTCCAGTCAACACGACTATTGGATATGCGGACGGTGACAAGCGCTTCGGTTGGAACAAGATCGACTTCTCCAGCGGGTGGCCGGTTGTATAGGCTCGCTCTAAGCAGCTAGCTACCAACTCTCGCGCTGAAACGCGAGTTCGCCTCGTACAGATAAACTGCCACCAGCACCCCCCCTATCGTACAGGTGACCCAACTTACAAAGAAGTTCTGCTCAACACCTAATCCGAATAAATTTTGCCGTAGAAGTACGAATCTGCTTAAAACTTGAGCGCTGGTCTTACCCACAAATAAATCCGGAGTGCGTTTGGAGTGGATAAGTCGCTCAGCGGCACAAAAATACTCAACCCTTACCAATCCTGAACTTTGAGTAAAACACTAACTTATGAGTACGTAGCGTAGAATTGTGCTAACATGTAAGGATGAACTCATACATGGGGAGTGGAGAATCACCACTGGCGATGTCGGGCCAGCATAGCGAAGGGTGGTGCAGTCGACGCCATCGTATTCGTATCTTTGGATACGAACAAAGCCGTAACTATTAGAGTCAGCTATGGTGAGTAAAGTGACTTAGCTCTTAACGCCTTGCCAGCCGCTGCAGCGAAGGCGAGAACTATACACGGCAGGCATCGGACAGGCGCGCACGTGGCCAGCATTGAACCATCGTCATTGCTTTCACACTGGAGCGACCAAGGCTCTGAAATCAGGTGCTCTAATTTGAATTAAGTCCATATTTAGAACATATACAAAACGTTAGAGCGATAATTCAAAAATATATTTGAAACGATGTAATATTTGATTAAATCTAAATATAGAATATCTTTCAAACACATATATTTCTAAAGTAATGTTTTAGCGCATAGAATTAGAACAATATATAATATAACAATATATAACACATTCCAAACGAATTCTTTCAGAGCATAAATTTGAAACGAACGACACATGAGCAACAGCCACACAGACCAGGACCGTCGTGGCTACACAGTCGGCCATCCACTAGAGAAATCGAGGTAGTTCCACCCGAAGCGCTTGTCGCCGTCCGCGTAGCCAATCGTGGTGTTCACTGGAACAGAACGAACGTCAGACGACAAGTCAGCATGATACACAATCGACTAGACCAAAAGATCCTACAAAAATGCTCACCGTAGTGGTAGTACAGAACTGGACTATAGGTCGGGTCGTCGTAGACGCCCTGGCCACCGGGGCCGTAAACCTCGTCGTGCGACTCGAGCACGACGGTGCCGCCACCGTTCGTGCAGTCCACGCCGTCCTTGTCCACGAAGCCGCCTGTGGCCTTGGGGGAGCGGCACACGAGGATGCGGTACTCCTTCCCCGCTGCTGGCTTGGACGTGTCGTAGCTGCAGCATTGACCCTTCGACGTGAAGAGGTAGTAGTAGTCGCCATACTTGAACATGTAGGACCCCTCCAAAACCTCGTAGTCGGACGTGAAGGCGATCTGAGAGGCCGATCCTGTGGACTTGGTGGGTGTGGCCTTCATTTCGACCTGGTAGATGTCTTGCCAGTAGCTGCCGAAGTTGAGGTAGTACGTTCCGTCGACGTCGATGAGGTTCGGGTCAATGGCATTGTACGCCTTCGCTGACGTACTGCTCACCCCGGCGCTACCGTAGTCCGTCCAGGTACCAATGTCCATGGTAGATGAGCGCGTCAGGCCGATCGCCGAGTTCTGCGAGCCAAACGTGCTCACTGAGTAGTAGAGGTAGTACTCGTCGCCAACGAGATGAACGTCTGGGGCCTACAACACAAGAATGGAGGTAAATCTCTCAAACTCTATGGTTTCGATGCCTCGAGTGCCTTACCCAGAGATCGTCGTTACCGTCCAAGTCGATGATGGAGCCGTCAGACACAGCGGCTCCCAAGTAAGTCCATGGGCCGACAATGTCCGGGGCCGAGTGTACGGCAATCTTGTTGCCCGTCGAGAAGCGGAAGTACGTGCCGTCAGAGCGGCGAATGATGGAGGGGTCGTGTGTGTTGGTGCAGGTACCTGTGCAGGTCTCGGGGTTCGAGTAGCCGGCTACAACTCCTGCGGTTAGAAACAACGGGAGCCCTGCGAGTGAAATCTTCATTTGCGCTGGGAGGAGGTGGCTGGCTCTTCAAGTGTCCGCTAGATGGCGAATTCGGCAATGAAGAAGAACTGTTCTGTATGAACTGCTAAAAGAACTGAGCTGCTTTCAATAGCCCTGGACATCTTGATCATTTGGTATCCAAGTAAAGGAATTTACTTTTCTTTCGGATCTCTTCGTCAAAGCAAATTGTCGATGGTGTAGGAATGACAGGTGGAAATCAAGCAGGCCAACGAATGCCGTACACGGGCGATAGCCTATACAGTATCCTATCGATAGGATACTGTATATGCAAACTTAGTCATATCCACACATGCCGCTTGTCCTTACCTAAGCGCAAAATGCACAACACGATGTTTATCGGAACTCGTCTGCGGAACTCAATGAATGAATGGGCTACTCTGTGACCCTCAACATAAAACTTTTGTATTCTATGCCATCATACCTCGATGGTTACACAGTACTACACGAATATAGACTTAGTCGAGCTTGCCAACGCCAAAGTTGTCGGTCGTCTGGGCCCACACATCAGCCAGGTCGCTCGCCTGAGCGAAGGACTGCGTCGTCTCGGTCGATGGCTTGGCCGTGCCGGGGGTGTACTGCTCCTGCTGCTCGGAGTCGTTGGTCTGGGACGACTGCTGCTCAGTCTGAGCCGAGCTCGCCGAGTATCCCGTAATGGCCGAGTTGGCCTTCACCGCCTCGAGGACAGCCGGGCCGTTACGCGACGTGAAGTTGCCGCTGCTCACCAGAGTGTTGGACTTGCACGAGCGAGTCAGGTAGTTGCTGCACACGTCGTTCGAGTCGGTGGCGTATAGGTTTCCGTCCGAGCCCTTGGGGTCCAGGGGCTGCTTGGTGTTGTTGAAGTAGTTACCCTCAGCGAGCACGTAGGCGTTGGCGCCGATCTCGAACGAGTGGCCCGAGTTGTCGCCCCAGTAGTTGCTGGCGATGTGCACGACGATGTTCTCGTTCTTGTTGCCTCCGACCTTGGGCGAGCGGCCCGAGGTGGCGTGGATGTAGTTGTTGAGCATGCTGATACCCGTGTTCTTGCCGTAGAAGAGGAAGGTCCAGTAGTGGTGGCCGTCGCACGAGGACGAGTACTCGGTGTTGCCGTCGAAGTCCGAGTTACTGATGGTGAGCGAGTCCACGCCGGCCTTGTTGGTCACGACCATTTGACGGCCGACGCGCGAGACCTTGACGTGGTCGAGCCAAATGTTCTTGGCCGTGGTGTTGCCCTTGTTGGTGCCCTGGATGAAGAACGCGTCGCCGCCCCAGATCACGTGCGGGTTGAGCTCCGTGACGTGCACGTTCTGGATGATGATGTTGTCGCCGTTGAGTGTCATGCCCTTGCCCATGATCACGCCCTTCTTGCCCACGCCGCGCACAGTCTTGTTGCCCTTGACGTTCATGCGCTTCTGGGCGGCGTTGTCGTACGTCACCTCGATCTCAGTGCCGTTGGTGCAGCCGCCCGTGTTGTTCATGCCGCCGGGGCCAAGGATCACGTCCTGGCCCTTGAAGCCGTTGTTCTTGGCCAGACACTTGCGCATATTCTCTGGGCGGCAGCCCATCTCGGTAGTCGAGCCCTCCGTGCCGCGGAAGTCGAACGTCTGGTTGAGGACGATCACCAGGGGCTCAGTGTCGTTCAGGTACTGGATCAGCTCGCTGGTCGAGGTCGGGTACACGACTTCGCCGCCCTCTCCGCCGGTAGTGCCAGCGGCCATGCCCGCAGGGGAGCCGATGTTGAAGGCGCTGGCGTCCTTGGCGACGAAGGCCAACGCGGCAGCGAGAGCAAGCTGGATATGTCCCATGATGAAGAAGACCGGGGTTGGACTTGGCTGACTGCTCGAGGCGAGGCGAATTGGGGAATGAATGAGCTTGGGGGCTTTGGTTTGGCGTTCGTTGGTTGCCAGTCCGGATTAATTTGTCAGTCTGGTTTTCGTGATGTATCGAGGAACGACTGTTCAACATCCTGGGGGCTTTGCACTGTCGATCCGCATGTTAAATCCCCAAAGCTTGGTTTCCGTCCTACCGGATGAAGGGGTCCTTGTGGACTGGCGGCTGTCGTAACGCAAGCGTGGATACCGATTTTGTTGAGCAGTCACGACAAGTGCGGACGCTGAGGTGAGTTTTAATACTGTAAGGACCGCTCCACCGTCTGCTGACACAGAAGGCAATTAATTGTTGACGCCTTCGTCGACGACAAGATTGTTTGCCGTTTCAAAGGCACGTCTGCTTGCGCATGTACAGTCAATGCGTTTGCTTAGAGTAGCAGTGCATACTGTACGCAGAGGTGGAAACTCGATCGGTTATATCCGCTCCGTTGCTTACTGTTTACCTTACCGTACTGCCATGCTTGGGACAAGGCTCGCGGCTGGTTGGTTACGTCTGTGTCCGTCTTCGCTTGCCGACGTGAACATTGACGGCTATTCGGATGTTCATCGAGAACATGTACTGTACGTCATGAGAAGCAGTTGGATAGTCACGCGCTGCATCAGAGACCGACGAAGGACCCCAACGTACTGTGTGTGTGTGTGTGGGGGGGGTAACTTACTAGTATTGCAAATAGATACACCTTGCGTTGGACTTGGGCCTGCAGATTAATTCTCGTGCCGTCGAACGACCGCACGTTGTCACTTCGTGTGGTGCCCATGGTGCGTATTTCAGCGCACGCTGCATTCTCTGCGATGGTATCCAACCGACGCTTCTCAATACGGTACGTCCACTGTACCCTCGGAGTGAGCTTTCATCAACCACGGATGCTCAATACTGAGGTAAAAATCGAGGTAAACATGCTGCGAGTGCTACATGTGCGCGTACCAACGGTCGCGTGCGCCTTGATGGTCGAAGCAACGTTGCAGTGGTTAGATGGTCGAAGCAACGGTGGTCTAAAGTTGAGCGTGGTGGTGGTGGTCCCGTTCGCAGTGCTGCACACAGTCTTTCACGATTCGATGTGCGGGCGATGCACCGTCCTTTGCATCACCACATGGCTCGAGTTCACGTAAGTCATGCACGGCAATCCATGCCGCGCGTGACTTTTCACAATCCAAAGCGTCCGGATTTGATTCGTGCTTCAGAAAGCGATCAGCGAAAGCAGCTGAAAAAGCTGTCACCAGCGAACGATCGGATCGCCCAGTTGATATTAAATATGAGAGAATTAGTAATAAGCTAGTCGCGCTTTTGTTGAAGTCGGATCTCGAATTGCGGCTGGCACACATCTGAAGATAAGGTAGAGTACTGTATATGTACTGATCGTAGAGCGCACCACGCAAGGAAGGAAGGAAGGAAGGTCGCCAGATCGACACTGCCACTGCTCCCTTCGACTTTCGAAAAAAAAAAACTTTAGCAAAGCCCTCTATTTTGATCAAATCTCAAGCTGACTCAATGGACAGCTAATCGAAAGTCTACAAATCAAAAGAACCGTCAGGTCACCTAAAGACCCTGGGGAATGGTTCACCACCAGACAGGAAGGCGTCGTAAAGGACCGCGATATTGACGCAGTGAGTGTAACAATGGAGTCGCTGAGGGTGACCGAGCAACCTTGCAATCAAATTAAGCAGCGTCCTGGCTCGCTTCAATGCTTTAGATATTTTGCCGCCGTACTTCGAAGTGCCATACAACCGATATGTTTTTCGATAGCTCACAATACAAAAAAATGAGTATGGGAGTGTGATTTTTTAATACAATAAACAACACTCGAAGTTTCTCAATGACATCTAGATTAGTATTGACTTTTACGATATATCACGCACCACGCATCAACTCTATAGCTCCTCTATCAGAAGGATAAGGTTCGCTTAGTCCAGCTTACCGACGCCGAAGTTGCCGGTGGTCTGCTGCCACTCCTTCTCCAGGTTGCTCGTCTGGACAGCCAGCTTCCTCGAGCCCTGGTCCTGCTGCTGCTGCTGCTGCTCCTGGCCCTGGTCTTGCTGCTGCTCCTGCTCCTGTTGTTGCTCGGAGTCGTTCGTCTGAGACGACTGCTGTTGCTGCTGCTGCTCCTCGGACTCGCCCGTCTGGGACTGCTGCTGCGAGCCGTTGCCCTTGGAAGGCTGCTGCTGCTGCTGCGAGCCGGTCGACGGCTTGTACTTCACAAACGTGGAAACGGACTTGATCGTGTTCAGCGCAGTTCCACCGTTACGGGACGTGAAAGCACCGCTGTCCACCACCTTGTTGGCCTCGCACGAACGGCCGATGTAGTTCTTGCACTCGTCACCTCCGGTCGCGGCGTACAGAGCACCGTCCTTACCGGTGTACATCGGCATCTTGGTGTTGCTGAAGTAGTTGCCCTCCGCAAGCACCCAGGCGTTGGCGCCGATCTCGAACGAGTGGCCCGTGTTGTTGCCCCAGAAGTTGTTGGCGACGTGCGCGACGACCTTTGCAGCGCTGTCGCCACCGATCTTGGGCGAGCGGCCCGACGTGCCGTGGATGTAGTTGTTGAGCATGCTGAACTTGGTCACGCCGTAGAAGATGAACGACCAGTAGTGGTGGCCGTCGCACGACGCCGAGTAGTCGGTGTTGCCGTCGAAGTCCGAGTTACTGATGGTCATGGAGTCGGTACTGGCCTTGTTGGTCGTGATGAACTGGCGACCGACACGCGAGATCTTGATGTGGTCGAGCCAAATGTTCTTCATGGCGGTTTTGCCGTGGTCCAGACCCTGGAGGTAGATGGCG